TGATATTGCTAGATAAGTCTCAATCTCTTTGGTGAATAAGATGGACGGTTCATTTCGTTTTGCATCACTGGAACCCGTAATTGTGCCAAAAAGTCATTAGCTGAGAAGTTCAAGCCGCCCTGTGCCTATGCACTTACCTTTTTGCATCAATTTCCACCAAGCATTCCTCCAAGTCAATGATACATTGCCCTGGACGTTGGATGCTGCCGGGTTATCGCTGCTGTTGGCTCAGCAGAACTGGTAACTGTTGGTGATATCTTTTCTCCCTAGATGTGACTGCAGCCTTTTGTCCAGTAGTTTGATGAGAGTGTGTCGTCGTCAAATGCCAGCTTGAGTATTGCCATCCTGGTGTATATATGCGTGTCTCCGATGATCGTTTTTCAACACGAACGCCAAATGGGAAGATGAAAATGATATCAATTGAAAAGATTTGTTCAAGAATGAAAATGTTGTCTCGACGTGATGACTAATGCGCCGAACATAAAGACAAGCAGGAGGGTGGCAGCTTCGTTCCATGAGGAAGGAGAGCGACAAAGTACGAGTACTTTACGGTCACCACCCTGAGATCCTTCATAGGTAACCTGCAACTCTCAACGATACATCTACACATGCAATCTTGAACAAAATATCCAGCACATCAACCCATTCGCCTGATTACATACTCTTGGTGGCCATCATTCACCCGGACCAAGACTTGGTGCAAGGCAATAGCACGTGAAATGATCACGGTGCTCCTACAAAGATGTCACAACATTTTTGCTCATCTCAGGAAAAAAGCACCAAGAGATATGCAAGAAATTGAGTTATTGGGTTATACAGGTATTTGTGCAATTCAGGAGCTCAATGTGTTCAAAGCAGGTTCTCAAGGGAATACTAACTGACGATGCGATAAAGGGGCTGTGTCCATTCGAACCTCCCGAGAACATCCACTTGCGTGGCCATGTTGGTTGCCCTCTCCGTTTACCATAAACCTCGACTCACCGTTAATGGGTAGCAATGGATCAGAATGCTCATCGTTGATGGAGTATTTGAACTTCGAAGTGGAAGACCGTGCAACTCTTTTCACCTAAGCCTCCACTCGGCCCCCCATTTCTTTCTCGTCAGCACCCAACGCACACGCCTATTTCTACATACGTCTGTCTGCCGCAGGGATCACCTCGTGAACAGTGAAGCTTTCCGGTGTTGGGCCAAGGAATTCGAAGCCTTCCGACCACGCCTCTGGCCTTCTATTCTTACGCTTCAAGCTATCGCGGGAAGCCCCCAGCAAGATAGCCGAGACATTCCACGTTTGGTACAACGTTCACCTCATCAACGGTCAGGGAGGTTGACGTTATCCAAGCTCACCGTGTCTTAGATTACAATAGTAATAGTCATTCTGGGATATGCTCATCTCAGTTTGATGGACAACGGCCATACCACCCCGAGATTTGCCGCGCATGCAACAACTTTTGCCGACCAACAATGCCACCTTGTGAAGCGTCAACTAATAACAGCACTCACCTTGTGCTAATACATCAGCGTGAGCGTGGGGACGAATCCCGTCTACTTCTGCGAGAGCATTGACATCCTGCTTGCATATTCAATACCGGTTGAAGCAAATCGCGACTTCTTTCTGCTACCCGATAGAAACACGTTCATGAGAGCATGCCTTCGCGACAGGTACAGCCTCGATCAGAGTGAGGATGTGAGCATTCGCATCAATACAACACATGTGCAACCGTACAAGTATATCCATCTGCTCAGAAGGTCCTGCCAAGGTTCCAAGATAATAATGTGTTGGCAGCTCAAAGTGGCCCAATAAACGAGCTTTGGTGAGGCGTTGCGCTAGTCCAGCATTAATTATGTCGTCGCCTGTCACACAAGACATGCAGTATCACACGCAAAGTCTCCCTTACATCGACGCTGCTGGCGTCAAATGACGACCATATCCAATCAATGGCCTCTATGGTGCGACTAGGCTTGAGACGGTTGCTATCTCATTCGCATATGAAGCCTGAGGTCGAGATGATAACTGATAATATCTGGCTGTCTTCGCAATGGTGACTCCTTTTTACTCGGAAGCTTGCAGGCGGGCTGCATGAGCACGGATCGCGCTTTTCTTTTCGTCTTTAGTGTTGATTAACACTGCCTTTTCCGGTGAGCATCCGTTTGACTGAGCATCCGTGCGCGCCACGTTGGTGGCGAGACGGATAGTGTTGGTTTGTCATTGTCCTGAGGGTTGATTAACCTCGCGAATTAGAGACGGTCGGGACTCTGGGGGTTGTTGTGATATGTGTGCGCTCTGCTAGATTGTCAATAGCAGGAGGGGGGGAATTGCGGATATCAGTACGTACGAAATTAATAAATGCTTGTGCAGCTGAGATTCTTTCCGTCCCGCCCCCAAGCGACCTGTCACGAAGTGGTTGACATTTTTCTTTTTCTCTTCCGTCATGCAAGCTGTCGGAACCAGGGCAGAAACAGAAACGGTTCTTTTTCTTCTGCGAAGGCATCCCGCATACCGCTCTATCACAACGCCACAGCTCACAGTTCATTTCTTTCAGTGGCGTCAATCTTTTAAACGAAGGGCGTCTTGTGAGAAGTACGCTCACTACTACCCCGGACGAAAGGGATATTCGTCCGTCAACTGCCGAGTTTTCTGTGGGTTAATAGCTGGAGAGGATCATACAAGAGGAGCCTCAACTAATGCTATTATGGAGAAATCGTGTTACGATGTTGTCGAGCACCTCTGGAGCGACAATGGACTCGCATGACGATATAAGAGAGTCAGAATTCTTCTCCGCCCCAACCTAATAGCCTGCATCCACCGCAGCTGTGCCTTGACCAGGGGCTTGCGTGCGGAAGTGACGACCACCAGAGGGCATGGGTCATGGCTTTGGACTGAACGACTTGAACGGAGACAAGAACGCCTCCACAGACCGTCTCCACCGCACACCGGCTCGGCAACTCTGGTCGGCCGTTCGCATCGGCCGCAACAATGTCCAAGCTACAGGGCATCAAGACTACAGGCAGTGTTTTAGATCAACAAAGATCGGGCGCTCCAGCAACTGCCAGCCAATTACACGGTAATGAGAGAGAGCATCGGACCCTGCTCGCTCATCTGAGTAGTGGAGAGGACGAGCAACGATTGGCCCTACGATATCTGATTGAGCATCACAAGGAGCTGCAAGGGCGATGCTGGGTTGCATTAAAGGGAGAAAGGTGACACAAAGTAAACGAGGGCATCACATACACTTGCCCTGGTTGTAGGCGAAAGACAAACTTGACTCAGGATGCTGCAAATCATCACGTACTCTCAACGGAGTACGGGGATACAGCATGCTTCTCATGCAAGTAGCCGAACATGTGCCCGAATTGATGACTGATCCGAAGACAAGGAGAAGAGGCTGGCTCCCATCTGCGCCTAAACGCATATACAAACGGGCACAGAGCGATGCTAGTGTCGACGTACGGGCGCGGTGACGAGCTAATACGAGTGAGGCTGAACGGACCCCGTCAGACAATCTCCACAGTGGCCAGGAGAACGATCGATGTCATTTACTACTGTCCATCACGGCCTGGTCAATCAAAGGAGATCAACCTTATCGCAAACAGACAGGCTGCGAGAGGCCAGTGTCACGACATATACGGCATGGCTAGCTCACCCTGTTCGACTTGAGCTGGATGGTTGGCTTGGCAGACACACGGCCCGCCTTGTCGCACTGCGGCCATGGCTCTTCCTTGCTCTTCCTTGGTGGCTCAAAGCTTTTCACACCTGCGCTAAGGCGAACATATCCTTGCTAGTCGCCATTGCAAGGCCTCTTACAAGCCAGGCACGGAGTATTTTGCTGCTCTTGGGTTAACCGGATCTGGTTCCCAGATCCCGAATACTACTCCTGGCCCCCCATGAGTGTTTGCCCCAGCTTTCATATGATTCCATGGAGCCCGCTAGGATTGGCCGCTCAAAGCCGTCTGGACGACCAGAAAGTTAGACAGCCACCTTGCAGAGTATGCCGCCCTTCACTAGGAAATAAGCTGGCTGGTACCTCGCCTATCATGTGAGAATAAACGTTACCGGACGAGCGTGGGCGCCGCAACGTGACGGAGAGGGCATGAGAAAGCATTAGACCAGCCTGGGATCCCCCCCCCCCCCTGTGTGTCTCAGTGTTTCCACAGCTGGTGGCTGATCGATATCTTGGGCATTTCGAGTCGCGAAGAGCAAGCACATCGGCCCGGGATGACCTGAATCAACAAGAAGAGCGTACAATGATTTGACTAAGTGGGAAGCTGCCGCCAATCAAGATTGCAACTGGCCATATCGCCTCATCATAGACAAGCATAAGCCGTGTAAGGGCTGGCAAAAAGAAGAGTCAAACGCAAGGAGCAATTCTGCAACTGTGCGCTGAGACTCTCCCTCGGAAGTGCGTTGGCTTTATGCGGAACCCTTGTAAAGGGAGCCGCTTTTACTCGGCATGGGAGGCGTTGAAGGTGGTACACACTACGCCTCTCTAATTTTCTGGGTTCTTTCACTTGTTTCTTTTTCTTCCTTGTTCCTCTGGTTGGTCAAGGCAAACTCTACTCCTTTTCCCTCTTCTAGACGCTATACCCCGTTCCCATCATGATCGACAAAAACGTGTGAAATGGCGTTGGTTAGCCGCGATTAGTTCGAGAAGGTCTTATCCCACACGTGTCGGAAGCCGTCCTGGAACCCAGAGACACAACCGCCCTGAACTTGTGCCCGGCAACCCTTCTTCTTATTTATGACTTACTCCTCCACCGTCCACGAGGTTTCGATGCCGCCCTTGAGTCGATAGCCCTCAACATCAAGTACTTAATTCGTTGGCTTCCCTTGCGATACAAGCTTTCGTGTTGGACGGCCGTCCATTCTTTTGCCCTTAACATCGATTACACTTTTGACTCTTCAAGCTTCTCATTTTTCCTAGTATTTATCGTTTTTTTTTTGTTTCATATTCTTGCTATTTATGTCTCTACTATAATCACTTCAACACACAAAGCTTATAACCATGGGCTCCGAGTTTGGCATTGCCGAGGACACCAAGCCTGAGCTTCGGCTCGGGGCGGTGGGTATCTTTTACATTTGCCTCACGGCAGTATGGACAGTCATCCTCCTTTGTGGCATGACTTTCCTCTGGGTGCGTCGCGATATGCCCATCCTGCGGATCAGAGGCCTGCCACTATCCTTTGCAGCGATAAGTTTCATGCATCTCTACTGGATTGCCGTCCAACTTGGATACTGGTATGGAGCGTTGATGCCCGAACTCGCCGAGTTTTGGATCATGGGCGTCTGGTTTCCTTTTGGAATCGCCCTGTTTCACGCCTCCAATAGCAGGTTTCTCTATGTTGCCGATGCCCAGAGGAAGTTCATCAGGTCTCAAAGTCCATCTATAGTCATTGACCGAAGGAGTTTGCTGGGTCGATGGCGATCGATAGATTACAACCGCCGAACCCTTATTATAATTTTCATCGGCATGGGTCTCCAGGTGAGTTGGCTTTTGTTCGGATCTTTACATTTCGAAGGGTGTTAATCGGCTTACTCTCACTTTAGCTCGCCCTGACGGTCATCACCTTCCTCATCTCTCGCAAGTTCCACGACTCGTTTGGCATTGCTGGCACTGAAGTCCATGGCAACTACATGCAGCGAAAAGTTGCTCAAGGCCGCGGTTGGGAATGGTTAGTTTTATACAATTGTCACTACGTTAGATCCATAAGTTAACCATCTCTTAGGTGGCCGTCAATCTTCTGGCAGATGTTCTGGGCCTGGATCTTTGCGCCCTATATTCTCTTCCGTGCGCGTAACCTTCGCGACACGCAAGGATGGAGGTTCCAGACCATCGCCTGCTGTCTCTCCAAGTAGGTCGCCTCGCAGCATATTGTCTACTTGTTGCTAACGTCTCAATAGCCTTCACTCTGCACCCATGTGGCTTATTGCCCTGTACGTTCCCGGAATGGAGCCTGTCAACAACTACTTTATTCCTCCGCAATGGTAAGTTGCAGTTTCCACCATATGACCATCGCTGTATATCTAACTCTCATAATGTAGGATCGCTGTTTCCATCATGCTGCTCGAAATCTTCACCGTCTTTGTACCCATTATCGAAGTCTGGAAGCACAACGTCCTGACTCAAGAAACACTCAACTCTATTGCCCGCTGGGAGTCGCGAAAGAAGGGCTTCACCGGTGGCGACAAGTCCATCAACTCAGATTCAACTAGGTCCTCGTGGGGAGGACGAATGGGAAGAGCCTCTTCTGTTCACACCAATAGCTCCGGCGGAAGCATCCTCACCATGGAGGCCCTTGAGCATACACTTTCTAAAAACCCCGAACCATTGCAGCAATTCTCTGCGCTCCGAGATTTCTCCGGAGAGAACATTGCTTTCCTTACGAGCGTCAAGGAGTGGAAGATGCTCTATTTCTCCGCCGTTGAAGAGTTGGAAAAAGATGACGGCGCGGTGAAGGAGCTGCCTCGCGAGTGCTTTGAGAGTGCCCTCAAGATCTACGTCGACTTTATCAGTGCAACTCATGCCGAGTTCCAGATCAACCTCTCTTCTACGGACTTCAAGAGCCTTCAGGTCATCTTTGAGCATGCCGCAAACGTCATCTGCGGCAGTGAACGCAGCAATCCCGACCCTTGCACACCCTTTGACGATATCCCCCAGCGGACTGACTCCGAGAGCACTCTAAATATTGTCCGCTACTGGGGTGAAGTTCCCTCCGAGTTCAATGAGCATGTGTTTGATGATGCGGAGATGAGCATCAAGTATTTGGTCTTGACAAATACGTGGCCCAAGTTCATCAAGGAGAGACGCTCTTTTGACATGGCCAGAACTGTCGAGACTGGCATTAACTAAATAAACCAAAAAAAGAAGAAAAGGTCAATCTTCGTTCCGAGATCATATATCCTATTCTTTTAGGCGAGAATAATTATTATTGTAGGACAGGTATATGGGCTGGGAATGGTTTTTTTTTTCTCGGATATGCAAGAACATTTGTTGTATCTCATTACACGATCTCCTCATGACGGGCGCTGTAGCTGTGATTTTTTTTTTCTTGACGGATTGTGGGTATAACTTGGGAGGGGCTAATCTGTGAATTTGATGATGGAGCTATGGATTCCCCTAAATTTAAGAATAATATTTGTGGATTTACGGATGCTGTAGTTTCCGAATGGCCGCTGCCGCTATTCAAGGCAATTCAGAGCTGAGTTGTCCGATGATCTTGACTGTTTGGAGACTAGAATTGTCCTTTTTGCAGATAGGCGCAGGGACAAGCATCTCACCATTTCGCTTGTCACATTGAGTGGAGATGGAGATCTGTCTATACGAATCATGTAATGTACTCGTATGGCTTGCCCTGAGGACTCCGTATATGGGCATGGGTTGATTGGATGCTCGTATCTAGTTGCTGCGTTAATGCGCCTGACCAGGTAGCTAGTCATGTATGTATGTAATAAGAAGATCGATTTCGCCGATTAAGGGGGGAAATCTCGCGATATGTGATGAATCGGGGCATCGTAGAGATCGTAGATGTGCTTGCGATCGAAGATTACGAGATTGAGCGCTTGTGTTGTTTTGCTTGATGGCGGTAGCGAGATGAAGTTTAAGCATCGGCCCTGTGCAAATAAGATGGTCTAGAAGGCTGCTGTAAATCTATGCCAATGTCATCACCCTTGTGTATTTTCTTGTGTGAAAGGGGCGGTATACTTTTGCTTTCGATCGTAGTCATATTACATTTCTTTAGTCAGAAAGAAAGATATTGCGTGACTCACGATGATGTAAATACTATTGCACAAATGACGAGAATGTAACGAGTATTGTACAACTCACGATAATGAAAAAATAACATTGTACAACTCACGAAAATGTGAAAACAGCATTGTACAACTCACGAAAATGTAAAAACAACATTGTACAACTCACGAATATGTAGATTAAAGTAGTTGGGAATGTAAAAGCCAATTGAAAATAGCCCCAAGTTGCACAACAGTCTCAAATTCCGATAGATGCCAAACCCAACGAGTATTTATTCATCGAGCAACATCTAGCAACATCCAGGTTCCCTTTGCCATTCGTAGAATATACCTCAACTATCAAGTGCTACAAAATCCGCTACACTACAATGTCTATTACGCACACAATCCCAACCTACCATTCGGCGCCAAACTACTCGATTCCGCCTCCCGATGCTAATGGGCCGTTGCAACTCGGATCGCTGCTTTGTGAGCTAAGGGACCTCGCTCCGCTGAATACTAAAGATCGGAGACCGGTCCTAGAAGGCGACATATTTCGATCTCACAAGGATCGCTTTGGAACGGCAATGAGTCGCCAGGCCAGCGGGGACATGGGCATCTTCGCAAAGCTGCTGGGACTAGACGGGGTCGGCGGCAAGCTCAGAATCAACGGGGCACTGTCTAAGAACGAGATGCTATTAGTAGACCGTCTTGACACCATGTACTTCGACCCGTCCACCGAGTACATGAAGCTCGCGATGCAGACTCCGTCCGTACGAGCCTTTCGCGATGCCACTCGTGACCGAGAGCCGCTGTTCATGGTCACCGGCATCAAGATCGCCCGTGGTGCGTCGGCATCGGCCATGGGGAGCCAAGCATTGGGCGGAGGCGTGGAGGCCGGGATGCCGGACTTGGCCACCGGCCTTGTCCAGATAGGAGCCACGGCTGGTGGTGAGATGAGTAGAGAAAGCCAGATGGGCTTCCAGAGCTCGTCGGATTTTGTGCTGGGCTATCGGGTCTCGCTGATCAATATGAAGAAGAATACGGAGAGGCCGAAGGTGTACACCCGTGGGGCCACGTTCGTTTCCGATGATGTGCAGGAAGATGTCGACGAAGATAGGGGAGAGCCGGATGCAGTTCATGATTTTGCCCCGGAATCCATGGAGTCCGGCAGCATGTTTCTAGATCAGACAGGTATAACGGATGCCGGACCTTGCAGATGGGTGCTGCACAATGTGTAGAGACAACTTCTTGTATCCCCCAAGCAATGGTGAAGAAGTTAGAACCTATTCAAAGACATGAGTGGATGGGGGTTTATGATCAAGCTCTATAGTATAGGTAATTGGTACTTATATTAGTAGGAAATGATGTTTACTGTTTATCTGAAATTCCCTATCGTTTTAATGCATTCAAGATTTGCTCCCGAATGTAATCCTCTGAATTCGTCCCATCCCACAAGATCCAAGGCGCAAAGTAACTATATCCATTGTCCGCGTTCATGCTAAGTAGTCTAAACATAAGGCGCATCCCATCACTCGAACGAAGACGCTTTAGCTGGTCAACGGTTAGATGAACCACCTCCGGGACAATGGCGAGAATATCCGCCGCGATTGCCGCGGCCACCGCCGTTGCGAGCGATGTCCCGGACCTAATGACTGTTTCACCTTTCCAAATCAATGGAATATGCATACCTAGAGTCATGAAGTTGTCGTCATTGCTCAAGGCTCTTGGTGAGAGTCCTCCATCCTTCCCCTTGCCATTCGAGGCATGAATGCATAGCACGTTGCGATTGTTGCCCGGGTATGCCCGCAACTGGTTGTTCCCACTATTATCCCCTGCTGCTGCAACTATAATTTTATCAGCTGCAATAGCCTTTTTGATAGCCCAGTCGATTGCTGGATCTAGGGAATCAAGAGCGAGAGAGAGTGAAATAATATCAACATCTTGCTGCAGTGCCCAATGTATGGCCTTCAACGTGTTAGATAGCCTCAACAGTGGCGCCTCACATGAAAAGTGTTCAAACTTACTTCAGAAATTAGTTTCGTATCCCCTTGGGCCATTGTCTTCGCGACAGCAACTTTAGCAACACATATAGCGGCTTCAGGTGCGAGCCTCAGGATGAGCTCTGCTACATTCGTTCCATGGCCGGTGTCATCTTTGAGGTCCATGGTATCTCCCTTAAAGTCCCACATCTTTTCTATTCGTTTCTTTGCCCCTCTCAAGCTTGGATGCTTCATGTCGATTCCAGTATCGATAATACATATCTTGACATGCTTAGTTGCACAGTTTGTAGGAAGATTGGAAGCAAGGAATGTTTGCATCTTGTTGAGAAAATATTTAGACGAGGATACAGACCTATTAATTTTGTGTTAGCTCCGTGTTTTCCCTTTAAAATTAGACTGCGTTCTCACGGCTCGGATGCGACCATATCGTGTTCTAGATCATTAATTATCGGGATTAAGCCAGCGGATTCAGAAGGGAAGCTAGGAGTTGTGATGGAACCTGCAAGCCAATTAGATCGAGTAGCCCATCTACTTGTCGTGATAGAATTCTCTGATGCAATCTGGGGGCTATTCAACGTCTTCTTTGGCCCCCGGCCTGCGACAGTCCCACTCTTCTCAGGTTGGATGCTCGACCATCTACTGTTTGTATATTCCTTTAAGCGTTTGGAATATTGTTTGAAGTCTTCCTCCAGGTGAATAATTATTTGTGCGTAGATGAGATCTGGCAATTCCAGTATCTTTTCTTCCGGCTCCATGTCGCGAGAGGACCTGTACAGGTCGAGACAGCCTTGAATAGCTAGGGCATAGTATGAAGTTGCATAGCTCAAACTTGGCCCTTTCAGAATTTTGTTGAGAGTCAACCAGAGACTGTAAGGCTCTATTTCACTGCTCACTGTTGTGCTAATCCGCCTGCCCAGGTGTATTTCCACGAGAAGTTTACCCAGAGCAAGAAATACGCTGTCCCCCTCTACGCTGCCTAGGCTACTACTGTCATTTTCAGACGAGATGCAGTGTAGGCCACAGCTGATGTAAGGGGGCGCATTGAACTCTGGAATGCTTGAGGGTGCATTCATCGATGATATCAACGAGATATTATCTGCGGACCAGCCATTTCGTATCCAAGAGCAGTCGAAAAGATACAGAAAACACCAGCTGAGATTCAAAGAGAGCTGTCTCTTTTGCGGAAGCGTAAATATGCCGTCCAACGTATCTGGTTCCATAGAAGGGGAAAGACGATCTTCTTTGATCAATTTGTCCAATGTTTTCACCTCCGCCACGGCCCGACTTTGAGCACGCGTCTGTTCCAATGGCTGCTTATAAAGTCTTCCTTGGTGTGGAAAAAGATCCAGAACCTCATCGAATTGTTGTGCATCAGTGATGCCCTCGCAGAGGCTTCGCAGAGGTCTACGCGTCATTTTCTTATGCTTGCTTCGTGGCAGGTTTCTGGTCTTGATCAGATTGGAGTTCAATGACAGGGTTGATGCAAAGATGGGGTCGACATACTCATTTAATAGGCATTTGATTTCATGCCACTCGGTGGAATCCTGGCAAAAAGAAAGTAACAAGGAAATTGACCATCCAGACTCAGTGTTCCAGTTCAGGCCGTCTCCCTGCAGGAGCAGATGATGGTCGGCTGATTTTTCGCAGTCATTCATACGCCAGATGGTGTTCTCAAAAAGTGAGCCTATTAGTTTCCTCTTCATCTCAAAGAAAGCTGTAGAACACGGCTCGGGATAATGCGCCGCAGTTGCTGTTTCATGGAGACAAGCGCAGAAGATGGACTGTAAGTGATCCTTGAATGAGATAAGTCGTGAAAGAATAGCTTTTGCATCGCTGAGCGACAGTTGCCCAAGCGTAGTTGGACCAGCTTCGGGTTGCTCACGATCTGTCTGAACATCTAGAAAGGCTGGACTGTTGAGCGAAGTTCGCCTTACAATTGGATCAACAATATTGTAAAGCTTTTTTATTTCCGCTTTGAAGTCTTGTATAGTTTCTCGGTCGACGTCTCGGTCGGTCGGTACTGATACAAGAAGACTGTCGAGCTCAGAGCAGAGAAGGTCGTATGTAGGGTCCGCCTCTTTGACAACACGCTGAATTGCTCCATAAAGATTGGATCGGATTCCCTCGAGCATTTGCCATTCTTCTTCCAAGTCAGTGGGACGCATCAATGCCCTAACCGGTTGAGGATCAAGTGTTATTGTTACCCTTGGGGGTGGCAAACAAGAAGGACGGCTAGCTCCGAAAGCAACAACAAATAGCAAACCGCCGTGTCAGCGAGGGTATAACAAAGAACCGTTCTAACAAAGAATATAACAATGGCGCTCAGCAAGAGATGCAACATACACAAAATGTATCAGTCTTTGTCTAGGATCATGGCCAAAAGTAATTCCAGCAGTGTTTGAGCGGGGGAAGCGGTGAGAGTTGAGAGCGACCTCGAGATGGTACACTGGAGAGGATACATGCTACTACTTGATTTCCTGCTTCATTCACGTAGGTTACACGAGACTGTGAGTTCCCGATACACGTGACCCATCCATGTTGCACATTACACATTTATCAAGCCGCCGCTTCTTCCGTCCCCCCTGGGCTTGGAATCTCTTCCTTCCAAAGAACCCCCCAAAATACAATCCCCAACGATTAGAGATGGAGAGACCAACAAACTGGCGAGACATCCGTTCGGCTGCGTTGGACTGCAAGCAGCTATTTGAGGCATGTCTAGAACAGATCGCCGAACCAAGGACAGCCAGCCTCCTGGGCAAGTTCGCTCGCATTTCCTGCTGGCGTGCAACAGACCAAATGCATCGGGTTTACGCGTGGTTATATGGGATGGATGTTGAGGCGGAGGAAGGTCTGTCTCTTGATCACTGCTTGTCCAACAACAAGGGCGTCCGAGATGAAGTCATAAATCGTCTTCGCGAGCTCTTTCACAGTCTGCAATATGGTGAGTCATTTCCGGGATCGCACACTTTTACTACCACTAAGTCAGACCCCAGTTATACAAATAGCTCGAATCAAAGATGACGAAAATCGAGATGTGAGGGGAAACTATAATCCCGACAATCTCGCGACCGACCTTCTAAACGCACAGCGATCCCTCGAGAAAAATATTGCCGAGCTATACAAACTGGGAGAAACCATTCAAAAGCCGCCCTCAATTACCGGTTTGCTCGACACAGTGAGAGCCTTAGTCGCAAAGCAACAACTCAACTTCGGGATGGGAGGGATACCACACGGGATACTCCAGCACCTCTACCCAACGACGCCGTTCAACCTTCGACGACTTCTAGCGAAATCCATCCAACAACGCTACTTCGATATAAAGGGCCGAGGAGAGCGTCAACGAGCAACTCGCCGCTTACTTGCTTCAAAAAACGGCCAGATGGAAATTCGCGACGACGGCCCGGAACTGCGGGAATCGATTACTCGAAAAGACCAGGACGATGATACGTCCACCAGTACTGCCGATGGCTTCACAGCGCAAACATCGGGAACGAACCCGCCAACTCTCCAGGTAGATGAATTTCGTCGCAGGCTAGGAGCTGAGTGGCAACATGTGGCCCTTTCCACTACTTCTTCAGTGGCAGTAGGCGATATCAGCTACCCGCAACCGCCACGGCTTTTAGGGAACGGAGAATCCAGCCAGGCAACCTGTCATTGTTGCTATGAGTCTTACCCTCACAGCGAATTCCAGGACGCGGCATGGTGGAGGTAAGTTTTTTATATAAGTACTGCTATATATTTACTAATGCTATAAAAGGCGCCACGTCGACCACGACCTACGACCGTATGTATGCCTCATGCGTAAATGTACGGCAGACCATAAGTCATTCGGCGAATTTAAATTATGGTTTGAACACATGGAAGACTATCATTCGTCGAGTTGGATTGCAATACTTAACGGCGAGCTCAAGTCGCTATGCGATATTGAGTATGAGCAACCGGAACTGTATAATGATGCGAAATCTTTGCTATGTCATATACGGGAGCACCATCCAGAATTATTCGAGATGCCTGAAATCGTCCAACACGCTTGCCGAGAAAGAGTTTGCGTACTTGGATCCGACGACGTTTGCCCTCTTTGCCGAGTTCACTCTAGCAACCTTTTCCAGGTCGTTGGCCAGCCAAGTTATTTGCGACATTCTTGGCAAACACAAGGGAAAAGAAATCTAGAGTATGGTGAGCAGACAAGGCTAACTCTCAGAGTTCAGACAAACCACGGAAAGAATCTCTCTGAAGGCGAAGAAGAGATGGGCGCCCACGAATCGTGTAGTCTAGTTGAAGCTCACCATTCGGCCAGCTCGACAGCCAGCTCACCAGTCAGTTCGCCGTTCAGCCCAACAGGTAGCTCAACGGGTAGCTCAGCGGAGAGCAATGAGCCGATTCCACGTCATATCATCGATCGGTCGAGACGAGAACTATTGGCGAGACACATAGCAGAACATCTGAAGGCTCTCTCTTTTATTTGTCTATGTCTCAACGATTCCGGAGAGCAATGAGATCAGGAAGGGCAAGGGTTTGCTACAACTGACTAGGCATAGGCAAAGGTAGCAGACCAAACGGGCTCGATACAGAGCGCGGCACGGCGTCTCTCAACTTTGGTGACGAGCCTGCTTTCGATATATCGGTAGATGGAAGCATCTTGTCTGGTGGAACCAGCGGGAGGAACCAGACCAGCCGCGCTGGTTCCATCTTGGGGGCAAGATGTCGGATTCGCAGCCATTTCCTTCATTTCGAACAAACGCACGATTAACGGGCCATTCGGGATGGAAGTCAAAGAATCGTTTGGCACCCGGATTGAACCCTCGTGGCCGCGTTAATAAGTCTTTCATTCACTAGTTACTTTCTTTGGAATTCAAGCTACGTTTTTTATCGATTCTGTACCTCTTGCTTGGAAACATCGATCGAGCAGGCTGCTCCAGTCCGTAGAGTCCGTGACGCTATTCGAGCCGCGGAGCATCTTGCTGAAGAGGATAAACGACAGTGTCACTGCGCCATTACCGTGCTGCTGGTGAGAAGCACGGCCTTTGAAAAGGTAAGAAAGATACTAAACCCCTGTAACTCGATGTCAGCCATGATCCATCTGATTGCGCTTGCCTTTCATCGCATCAGCTACTCTATAATGTTCACTTTGTTTGTGATGTTAGTTTTTGTATTACAGTCTACGTTACAGTTGGATAAGAAGCCTGGAATTAGTAAAAATCTAGTGCAAAAGTCAGAATCAATGATCTGTTGAATGAGGCTAATGGAAGATGAATTGATTTTGCATCGCTAAGTGTCAGTGCCTCAAGCGAAGATGCCCAATTAGCTTCGCTTTGCACAGGATCTTGAACACTTGAGAGAATGGTATAGGTGGGCAAAATTTGCAATAAAACTGGATGAACCGTTTTTAATAGTTCAACTATTTCCTCTTTGAAAAGGTGTATTGTTTCAGGGTCGAAGTCTCTACCGATTGGTACGAAAATAACAAGTTGATCAAGCTGATTGGGCTCATCGCGAAGGAACCTATATTGGGTCAACGAATGAGGCATATATTCATTGTACATGATTGCGTTGGAAACCGATCTCCTGATAAAAGGCTGGATTGCTTGCAGTTTTTGCCACTCTTCCAATTCAGCAGGACGCATTTGAGCCCTAACGAGCAAAGAGGACCTTGCGTCGTTATTCCCTTGATGTATGGAGATGAAACTCCAGACCGTTTTCTCTCGAGTGCACGACCCCAAGATGTTTCTTCGCAAACACCAACCTCTTAAATTAAGCTCTAAGCATTTAAATTTGACAATGAGCTTAGATCAATACTGATATATTTATATATACGGCTGTTTCTCATAATGAACACTAGTGGCGCTGTTCATCGAACAGGACCTTTGTGTCAGGGCCTTCTGAAGTTGTCAACGCGTCCTCCAACTTTTGTCACCTCAAAGAAAACAAACAACTCTGTGTTCTTTCGCCCTTTTCATCTCAAGTTACACCAGGACAGTGGATTTTTGACACACGTGACTCTTGGATTATGGGCATTACGTATAGATATAAAGCTCCTCCTTCTTCTATCTGTGAAAATTCCCCTCAAATCCTCAGTGGCGTGACATGGAACACCCCAAAAAGTGGCAAGATATTTATTCGGCTGCCTTGGACTGCGATCTGTTATTTAACGAATGCCTAACGCAAATTGTCGAGCCAGTGACAGTCAGCCTCCTGGGCGAGGCTGCTGTTACGCAAGGCCGGCTTGCGAGAGACCTTCATGCCAGGTTTCAGGGGTGGTCGTCATACTTGGGCGTTTTTGCTGAGCGAAATCTATGTCTTGATAAGCGCTTATCTAGCAGTAATGATATCCAAGATATGGTGATAAATCGCCTCGACAATCTTTTTCTCAACTTACAACATTGCGAGTCTCTTTCGGAACTGCAGACTTGTATCACCACTAATTAAGATGTAGTTATACAAATAATCCAGACAAAAGAAGCTGGTGATCGATATAAAACCCTAGAATGGAGAACAAGCGTTGAAAACCTTATGGCCGACCTTAGACAAACAGGAGAATATATCGAGGGGTTTGTTGATCGATTACATCGAATAAGCGTCATCATTCGACAATCGTCGGCTGCTACCTGCCTTCCCAGCAAAGAAGCCGGACTTATCAATAGAAAATATATCATCTTTGCTCACCAAACATCTTTACGCCGAGGCGTCGTTGAGCCTTCAACACCTCCTAGGCCGATCTATGCTCGAACGTCACTTCAATATACAGTACCGAAGAGAGCACCAACAGTGTTTATCAACTGGCCGTTTGTGTAAGAGAGACAGCCAGACGTAAGTTGTAAATAATAGACTAAAGCTACGGCACTCAAACACTCGAAAGGATAATGATGCGCCAAACGGTATTCGCAATGACTTTCTAATGCAAACAGACACAATGATCTCACAATCGAGCTCGAAGTCGTCGACCCTCCAAACACACTAATTCTATCATAAGCTGGAAGCCAGAAAGCAATCTCCAGCCATTTCCACAGTCTCAACGACTCCTTGAGTACCCACGGGAGACGGGGATATCAGTTACTCGCAACCGCCAAAGCCATTAGGAGATGGAAATTCTAGCTAGTCAACCTGTCATTGGTGCTTTGAGTCCTACCCTTGTAAGAAATTCCAGGATAAGGGATGGTGGAGGTACACTTTTGACATGTTTTCGCGTTATTATGTAGTTACTAATACCGTGTATAAAAGGAGCCACGTCGACCACGATTTCCAACCATATATATGTCTAATTAATCCATGCCTGTATAACCTCGCGTTTGATAGCTTTAGCTCATGGGTTGAAGATATGGGAAAGCACTACTCGTCTGACTGGATCGCAACAATCAATAGCAAAGTCATATAGCGGTGCGATATTGGGCATGAGTCACCAAAAATATTTAACGATGAGACGTGACCCTAACAACGACCTTCTTGTCGCAGATTGGGCAAATGATTCGCAGCATTCGCCCCAGAATAAACGAAAAAGAGAGTCACAACACATTAAACAGAAACAACTAAATATCAGTGACCAGGTAAAACGCAGAAAGGTTATATTTGAAGGCAAGGGAGACATGAGTGCGGGTGAACCAGCAAGAGCAGGTGAACCAGCCTTGGAGCTGGCAATTAGCCAGGGAACTGATTCTATTTCGCCTCAAAGTATGGATCAATTGCGACGGAAACGATTGTGGATACACATAGCAGAACATCTAAGGGCTCTCTCATTCATGTCTCTGCGTCTCAACGCTTTCCAAGAGCAGTATGAAAAGGGAGGGCATGACTTTGCTAGGTGAGACTAGCGGGAGGATAGAGATGAAGGTGATAATCCAACTGAATTTGATATAGAGCTAGGCATGACTTGACTAGGAATTCATGCTTGACGGGTGCGTAGATGAAAGCATCCTGAATAGCGCAGTCGGCTCCCGTGCTTGTTTGTGATGAAAAGTGTGTCAATTGGCCTTGGATTCTTACTATCTAGTGGCGACTAAGGCCTCCTACTTATATGTAGCTAGTGGACTGACCCCCCTGCCTACGTGAGTACCGGTACAACTACTAGGTCGTTGCCTCCTTATTTCAACAGTGTGTTAGGTCCTACGGCTAGGAATGGAAAGAAGACAGTGCTAACGCCAGAAACAAAGGCATTCTCTTCTCGATCCTGCGCCGGGTTCTATCATATTGCTTTGTACAAGACAGAGGACCCGGAATATTCTTGGCTAAACTGAGAGCAGGGCCATCTGATCGTTATTCATAGTTTCGTATTGTTATTGATATTTTTTCGAGGCACAAGTTCATAGTATCTAATTAGTCTTAAAAAAGGAATAAAATTACAAATTGTAACATGTCTTCCGTAAACAACAGGAACCGTATACCTTTCGTAAATACACCGCGAGCGCATATTTATGCATCAACTACGCCCCCGGTTTTCTCACACATCACCAACAGCATCATGCCTCAACCGCCGGGGGGACTACAAAGTTTGAATTATACATGGTCATGAAATCCGGCCAAAGCGCATCCTCAAACTCATACTCCTGCCAAAATACAGCATCTGGATCCGTGAGCGGCTCCCCAGGAGGCTGTGTCTCCGCCATCACCGGCTGCTCCTGCGGAACCCGCGAGAGATACCACTGGCGAATCCACCGAAGTTTGAAGCTGAGTCTACAAAACTGAGTTCCGCCGCCATCTAGAAGACGGCGTCTGCGGCCGGCTTCCTTGGCCCACGTGTCTGCCTCCTCGAAGCGGTCGCTGAGACGCTTCATGACGTCTGCAAGTTCGAGTTTTCTGCGAGCCATCGCGGGCTGCCAGTCTATTGAGGGATCTAACAGGAGCAAACGGGAACTAGTGACAATGGCAAAAGCGAGAAGTCCCGTAACTGATGTGGGAAGACCTGGCAGCTCGTTGGGATGAAAAGAGCAGAGCGTGTCAAAGAAGTCAACGGCGGCGAGGAGGCATTTCCAGAGAGTGTCGAAGCGTTGTAGCGGTTCTGTATTCAATGTGCTGATTTCGACGGGTGTGGTGAATTGCGTGGGAATTGCCGCCTCGGCGAGGCGCATGAGAGTGACTTGATAATACGCTTTGAAGATGTCTGGTGATTGCTGGTCAGCGACAGGGCATTTTGAATGGATAGGATGATACGTACTCCTCTCCTTGACGCATTCAGGCTGCATGCTTATCAAGTCATACAGTTCTCGACGAACGTTGTTAATCACCATATCCATAGGTGACAAGTACGCACTCAGCCCAACGTCAACCACATCAAAACCAGGCAGCAAGCCGTAGGCACGATCGGCGACGCGCTGCATTTTAATGAGTGCAACCAGAAATAAGTTAGCCTCCAAGGAGGATTCGGCCAACGATTCGCAGCATTGCGAAAGATAGTTGTTCCAAGGAAACTGGGTGCCTCGTTTGAACAGGGCAGATATGCTGTAATCAATCAGCCTACACTCTCGCAAAGCATCGTGCAAGGTGAAATGCGCTCTTACAGCGATGTAATGTGGTAAAGCCCCAAAACTGCTCGCTTCTCATCGGCAGTATGTGGTCTTGGCTTCGACATGCCCTTGTCAAGCGTTGCCCAGGCTTCTCCCAGGAGAGACTTGGGATGCATCTTAGTAGACTCCGGAGACCTGTCCAATTTAAGGTCCAGAGCCATGGCAACAGCCAGATGCACAAAATTCGTCGCTTCCGTATTCATGTAGAAGTGAAAATCACCCCTATTACATCCACTCTGTTAGCTCAATCAGGTTGAATGCTCCTTGTATGAAAACTCACCAAGCCAGGTGAAGGAGGAGAGCTTGCAAAATTCCCAAGTTCCTTTCCTGCTTCACAACCATTCTGTCTGCGATATACTGACGAAACCAGTTCTCAACACCTTGCTGAGTCGCCGACGACTGGGGCGTTACCGCCGCCATGATGGTCCAAAAGAGACATCGCGACGACGCATACAAAGTCCGAGGATCCAGATTCTCCGGGATGATGACAAAGGGATAGTTGGGCATAAACTCGCGCCGATATATATCAAAGTAAGAAAGCACCTCTTCAAAAGTAAAGCTAAAGCCCGGGATCAACTGGAAGGTAGTTGCCGGCTCAGACGGGATAGTGAGCGGTATCTGCGGAGCTTCACGCGCAACTGGCTGTGGCAGCGCAGCATCTTGCAACGGCTTTTGCAGGTGTAACTTGGGTGCATCACTGATTGTAACCGCACCAGTATCGTTGCTTTCAGGAGTCAAGGGTGGTGTCCCAGACGCCTGCATGTGCTGACCACTCGCAAGCATGGACACCAAGCCGTCAATCTTCTTCTCCAGCTGGGCCACTCGCCTAATTTCTTTCAGTTTAGTAAAACAAACTCACGACATTATGGACCTGAGATTCCGGCCAACATACGTTGATTTGCCTCTCTTCTTCCGCTGTACCGGTGCCGGCACATGGCACGGAATCTTCATGCGGTTACATCTAACGCAATGCAAGTCAGCTCACTTTGCCCGATCCCACCAATACAAAATCGCCGTAATCACACCTTATGCAACCGGCATCCCCCTTGCCGGCCCCAGACTCGGGCCATCGACACTTCATCTTCAGCCGGGCGCAATTGGCACATGCCCGGGTTTTGGGGACCTCCGGACCCGTGGGACGACTTCCGGAGCCGCTGTCAGGCGGAGCCCCGATGACTCCGTTGACTGCACCTCCATCTACAACGACTGAAGAATCAACACCCATGGCTGTTTATGCGTCGGAGAATTACTGATGACTTTGTTTCTGGACCATGAAAAAAAAAATTGACACGGAGTAAATTTACATCGTTCTCTGGAAGCCATAGTGTTGAAGGATTGAGGCTTCCGGCTCTCCGGATATTATCTTAATGCCCGGAGCCGTGAATCACGTGCTACGGCGTACGGAATCCGGTTATTATTTTATTTCCCGGCACCGGACATCGACTCTACTTTGTCTTTATACTCCCTTACCTCCGTTATTGACAAATTAATTGACGTATCAATAAGACATCCTATTTTCCATTTGTAATTGGTAAAGACGCAGACCCAAGTTCTCCTGGTTAGCATTGGAGCAGTTTCCTTCCCACTTCACGTGTCCAACTGTCTCAGTAGATCGTGATGCATTGTCTTTGCAAGACAAAGTCTCAGTTCACAATGACTCAGAGATATGAGATGGCCATGCTTTTACTCACCATGCAACCATCACGTAATTCCCTTGTCAATGCAAGATAAAACTTATGCGGAGATAAACCCCCATCAGTCGAGGATGCTATAACTCACTTTGTCTCAGCCATCGTCACTTCGTGTCAGTCTCAGTCCAATTGGCGCTTAGCAGGCCTAGTTCAGTCATCTCAGCTTTGTGCCACGCTACTCTGCCCCAGCAGAGCAGCATCAAGTGCCGAATGTGATGAAGCGTGGTGATAATCCCAGTCATAGGTAGTATGAAGCCATGTCACCTAAACATCCCTCTTAGATAGGTGTGCTCGTATCAATATCTACATGATCCACGGGCCCTGCTCTACTAGCCAGGTGACGGGAGCCAACACCTCCACGCAATGGATGCTGCCCACTTCCAATCCCACCGGTACCTGCGTAATTGTACATACCTATGTTTCATGGTGGGTGTGTTCTCATCCGCACTTCGCGTATGGGCCATCAAGCGTGGCGATCGCCATCCCAGTAAACCTTGGCAAATCCCAAGGGAAACTAACAGGGTACCTCTTCTTAACGACATCAAGTGTCAAGCCACACCTACGATCGTGGCCGTCAGGTGAGCAACAAACTTCTTCACTAGTAATCTCTCAGCATCCCTAGTCACAAGGGGCAAACCCAATACACACAGGCCCATCTACACCTGTATCTCGTCCATAGACCAACGAACTAGCGATTTGTCTGAATCGCTCTCTGCATATTTGATTCAGTCTTTCAACAAAAGCTACCCGGCTTGACCCGCCAGACAATGGCCATGAGTGCCCGCGTAAAGAGCTAAGCTTTGCAAGGTTGCCCGCTTTCCCGTGGTTCCCGAGCAGCCGAGGTTCCCAAGATCTGCAGCCCTAGACCGGGATGTGTTGATGGTTCTCCCCACAATCTGGTGGGTAAGCTGAGATCTTGCTGCGATCGCATGACGACCAAATCTGCGCTATTCAGCATAGCTCATACTTGGTCAACATGGCCTCTCTGCGGTATTATCGTGGCATATACGATCCAAGTGGATATCTTCAGCTGTGCAGCCGCCCAAGAATCATCTCAAAGAGGTGATTGATTGACAGAATCAACCAGGAATCTGTCTCTTCCCGCCCAACAATCGCTCAAAACGTGACGCTTTTTTCAAGTGCCGGTCTCAGTTGAGCTGTCAATCACTTTCTTTGTCACTAGTCCGGCCTACTTACACATCACCACTAAACACCGAATCTTTGTCCTCCAGCATCCTTGTCTGCGGCCGAGCGTGTCCACGCGGCGTTTAACCCATCGAGATTCGGCCGAACCCAAGACCGCTCAGTAACGTAACTCTGTCTCAGTTACAAACCTCTTCACACAGCACTCTTTTCAATACCTTCAAAATCCCAAATCTAGACCAAGTCAGGCTCTCTCCAAGACCGCCAAAGTCCGCATCATCACCCCTGCAGCGGCATTGTCCAAGCCACGCTCTTCACTCCCTCCTCCCGCAAAACAAAACCCCCCCATCCCTTAGTCTCAACAGGGTTTCCCTCCCCCCTCGATCATCTCTCACACGTGCTTTCATGATTCTTCCTTAAGCGACAAAGTAACGCCAAATTCAGCCTCGCCGCTGCATCCCTTCACAGCCGAAGGCGCAAAGGAAGTAAACCGCAAAAGACATGAACATCTCCGCCATCTTCAAGGCCATCGTCCCGAACCCCTCACGTGTAAACCACATGTACTATTCTGCCGCTCATTCAACATCGCATTCCTGTATTCTACCGCTTCTTGGCTACTACATCAGTTCCTGCGTCCCACGATCGTTCAATCAACCGGTTAATTGCTTCAAGTCGCATTAACTCAGGTCCGTCGCATTGTGGGGCGCGTCAAATTAATATGGGAGTTTGGTTCTTATTTATTTTTTCTTCCGAATGACGGCTAGCCGCTTATTCTTAAGCCTCGTGGGGTGCAAAGAAAAAAAAAGGGACTTTGAGCCACAGTGTCGACTGCAAGTGGCATATACTGGGCGACTGGAGCTCCGACTTACACACGATCTTGCAGCTCGATGATGCAGGCTGCTCAATGTCACGATACACCACGTCACCAGTCAAAGAAAAAAAAAAGTAGTGTAGAATAATAGCAAATCAATTTTTCAGAATTACCCCGTAGCTGTATGTTTTCACAGCCTTTGTACATCAAAATTTCTCAGATGGCCCACATATACAGCCATAAAACGATGGACCAATACCTCTCCATCAAAGGGAATGATTGCGCGCCCCCTTGTCCCTGCTAAAAAAATCGGACAACCTTGGATGACCTTTTCGGAAACGCCAGATAAATAACATGAGAAAACAAACAGGAAAACTAAAAACAAGAAGAAAAACAGAAACGTCACAAAATATAATGCAGAGAATGTCAAGAATAAGAGGTACTGGAAGGGGGGAAATAGGCAACGTGGCACGAAACCATGCTTCCTCACACAATGAGACATGCCACCCTCTCAACTGTCCCAAATGGCACCATAGGCCGGGACACCCCTGGTCTCTAATCCATATACCACCTTCTTGGTGATCTTTTCATTGGCAATGATGATGACGGCCTCGGCGCCAAAGTCTTTGGCCAGGTTGTAGCCCATGCGAACGAGGTCGGGCCGGCCCTGGGCTCGGGTGTCCCAGATGACGGCGTCGGGGAGAGATCCCTTGATACTGTCCACCATCTTCTTACCAAACGTCTTTTCAGGCGAAGGAGTTGACCAGATAAGCTGAGTGGGACAGCATGGTCGCGCGATGTGGCCCAGCATGGGGCCGATACCAGATCCTGTAGCAATGATGATAAGACGGTTGAATAGTGTGGTAATGCGCATGACGCCGCAGGTCGGAAGACCACGGACCCAGATCTTTGTGGGGGGGTTTTGAATACACGCCTTGGTCCAATCGCCAGCATTGGATACCACGAGAGAGTGACCTGTCGGAATACCTTCTTCGAGGTTGGGCTCATGGGCTGGGACCGTCGCAAAGGAGTGCCACTCAAGGAGCGGGCGGTGGGAGATGCGTGTAAAGCTACCGTTGACAGGGATGGCATAGTCAAAGTGCAAACGGATGGCGTGATCCGACAGCGGCTCGGCGTGGACCTTGACTTTGCGGAGGTACATCCAGGAGGAAGCAATGCTGCATGTGGCAACGCCGAGCATCCAGAAAGACGGCGTCTTGACGAGTGCAATCCCAACATCCTCTCCTACCGGGGTAGAATCATAAACGGAGACAACCGTCTTGACCCAGAAGAGCGCAAGCGTGGTCCACCCCATGAAGCGGTGCATGTTCTCAAACGTGTTGTGGCTGGGTTTGCGAAACATGGGCAAGGCAGAGGCAAGAATGCCACAACACAGCGCAGAGAGGAGCCACGAGACTACTAGGTTGGCTAAAGAGTACCCAGATGGTCGATGATGGAGCTGAAAGCGGGCAACCGTGGCCTGGATCGTAGAGCCAAGGAGCCACGCGGTTGCGCATACACCAGCAGCAGAGTGGATGCCGCCAAGATGGTAGATTTTGGCACATCGGTGACGAAACCAGAATGGGAAATACCCGGGAACAGAGCAAAAGATTTTGTAAAGGGTGTTTATGACAGTATCCTGGCGGATGACAACACCGGTGGCCAGGTTGGCCGCTGTGATGGTCGCAAGCCATTCGACCTTGGCGTTGAGAACGAGGAAGGCGATGAGAGCACCAATGTTAATGAGACCAACGAAGCTGAACAAGACGCGGTAAACAATGAGAACACGCTTTTGGAGACCTCTCCAAGGCTTGGGCCACTTCTTTTCGGGAATATCTCTCAACAAGTCGAGAGATTTCTCGGTCTGGTCCTCTTGCGCCTTGGGAGGGGCGGTTGTCAGAGTCGAGGATGAAGAAACGGACCGAACACCGACCTGGGAGCCAGATTTGGTACCCTTGGTCCCCGCTAGAGCAGCCGATTGAATGGTAGTACTGAACACTGTTGAAGATTCAGAAATTGTGGGAGAGGCTGGTCCGACAGCCAGCAGGCGTAGAAGTTTCTTGTCAATCTTGCCATTGGGCGTTGTAGGAAACTCATCCAGGAGATGAAATTTAGATGGCACGGCATAGTATGGTTGAAGTTTGCGAGTATGCTTCAGAATGGCCTCTGCATTTTGAGTAGAAGGGACTGCAAACCCATGGATTTCTCCCTCAATCAGGAGCGCGCAGGCACGAGAGACACCTGGCGCCGAGGCCATGGATGAAGAGACGCCATCCAATTCAACACGGAAACCCTGGTAACGAGCAACATGTTAGATTCCGTTCCTCGAGGAAGCGCTATGGCTACACGGCCCACAATCAAAATATGTGCAGAAACGGGAGCTCACCTTGACCTTGACCTGGTCGTCAACTCGACCGATAATTTCAATGGAGCCATCAGGTCGCCACTTTCCCAAATCACCGGTACAATACATTTTAGATCTATTATTGTGAGACAAAACAAGTGTGTCAGTCAGTTTCCCACACTTTCACGGGGATCTGAGCGAGCAGATCCCGGGCTGAGAGAACGCTCTTGACGAGCACTCCCTTGAGAAAACTCACCCATCATTGGTAAAGGGATCTGGAACGTAAGACTCCTTTGTCTTGGCCTCAAGGCCAACGTAACCGCGAGACACTCCGTGTCCGCCGGCCCACATAGTACCGGGTTCACCTACCGGCACGGGGCTCCCATTGCCATCGAGGATGTAGACGTTGTTATTGGGGGTAGGGCTGCCGATAGATAGGCTGTCCCCAACAACGTGTTTCCTCATAGTGTTGACAATGGTTGTCTCCGTGGGACCGCAGCAGTTCCAGTATGTTGCATGCTTGGCCCACAGATCAGCTAGGCTAAGGGGTAGGTTAGCAGACACTCGAAACAAAACGTCCACGGAAGGGAGGTTTCAGCGGAGTTTGACTTACTCTTGTGTAGTAGGTTCACCAGCAGTGGCAACGACTTTGATCTTGGGATACTTGGTAGGAGGGAACTTGGATAGAACAGTTGGTGTACAAATCAAGGTATCCAACTAAATCAACCATTTTCATCTAATGTTAGCCCAATTCACCGCCAAACGTAGCAACTTGGCGTAGTCCATCATTCAGGATTCTCCCTCCCTCTTTGACACTCACCAGCTCAATAGCGGGTTCCCACTTGGAACCCCGGATGACAAGGGTGCCACCGTTACACAGGCATGCAAAGATTTCCCAGGCGGCTGGAACTCGAATGTTAGTAATGTGAAATCCGAATCCACATCGATAACGGAGCTGAGGTACGTGAATTCATCTCAGGGAGAGATACATACCCATGTCAAAGCTAATGTTCAGAACTTGTCCCACCCGGTGACCTGGTTGAATACCCAGGTTCCCGGGAGACATACAGACAAGATTGGTCACATTTCTGTGTGTCACATCGACGCCCTTGGGCTTGCCCGTTGTACCTAACTCGCAGGTATTAGTCTTTCAGCTGCTGGCTGGCAGGGAGGGTGGGTATAGCAGCTGCGGCCTCGGCGCTGCTAGTGAGACCTCGAAGAAATGCACGTACCGGATGTGTAAATGATGTAACATCCACCATCAGAAGTGGCCAAATCCACCCATTTTCCATCATAGGTCATGTCGTCGAGCTGCTGCTGCTCGATTATGACGGGAGTGGCACCGGGGCAGAGGTCACGAACGCGATCAACAGTCGACGGTAGGCAGCAAACAATGTTGCCGCCAGACTGCTCAAGAACATGCTGTATGGTCGAGTCCGGAACAACGCCCCCGTCAAGAGGAACATACTGGGCGCCACAGGAGAGGATGGCCCAGATGCCCACCACCATCTCGGCGCTCCTCTTCACAACGAGAGGGACCCTCTGGTTAGGGCGTACACCCAAGTTGCGGAGTTCAGCGGCCAAGGCCTGTGCCCGAGCTCCGAGCTGGCGGTATGTAATTTGCCTGGTGGTTGCACCAGACAAGTCATGGAGGGCCACATTGTCGGGGAAAGATCTGACATGATGGTAGAAGGACGATGTGACGGTTGGGAAAGGGCACGGCAGCCTGGGTCCATACTGCATTGCAGCGTAGCCCATGGGGGGACTTGACATCTCCATAACACCAGGTGCTCTATGAAGCGTACGTCTGTATGTCTTTATGGATGTGCAGGTATCTTGATGCCGTTTGATCAACTAGATATGGTTATGAAGTGAATGGGAAAAGAAGAGTGGTGTGAAGAAGAAGAAGAAGGACAATGGGTTCAGAACGTGCTGCTGCCCGTCCAACCTGAAGAAGAGGCCGAGTGCCACCATTTATATACGTGAGAGGAGAAGAGTCCTAGTTCTTTCATCCCCCCTCCTCCAACGGTGGGTGAAGGTCCTGCAGAACCCTGCTTGGGAAGGGTCCGGCCCATGGTGAACCATGCGTCGTAGCCCTGACTACGATGCGGACAATAGCGGATCAAAGGCAATCAACGTAGGCACAAGCGACTTGTTGGTGTGGTCTTTGCCGCCTCTGAGCGAATATGAAAGTGTGTGAGTGGTCTTGGTGGAAGACCCATCGAGATGCCGGCGTCCAATACAAAGACGCCAGGGCTCACACGCGTGGAGGCTGAGACCAGCTAGGGTCAAGGGAAGAAACTGCAACATCGAGATATACGGAAGAAGGAGTGGAGGCGAGGAGGGACAGACAGGGTTCGTGGAGAGCAAGGACAAAGGGTAAGATGCTACGAAGCGGTATGCCGGGTGGGTTACTTACTCGTACTGACCGCGCCTGTCGTGATGACGGATGCTTGTGCAGGTCTGAGGGACGGGTCGACAGATTAACCTTGATTAGATACATGGTTGCCTTGCATCGATGCGATCAAAATGCGAATATCCGCGTAGACAGTATCCGATTGCTCTCTCGCTATTAATCGCGGAGTTGCCACTAGAGCTACTCCTCATGCTGCTCACCCTCCCGTTTCTCCTACCGTTGCTCCCCTCAACCTCATACCAAAGTGGAGAAGTGTGATAAAGTGGTGTTATTAGTTGTTTAATACAGAAAGGAGGAACGTTAGGGCCGGTTGGTTTACCGTTACATTTCCAGGAGAGGAAGTGCAGGATAAAAAGCCACAACGGTGTATAGCTGAAATATACCAGCTCGGGGGAGGGAGAGAACGGTGATGATATGAGGGATAGAGGGATGAACAGAGGGAGATTGAGTTGTCAAGCTGACAACCGTTCACGATGCCATTGAGTTTTATCCAATTAGCCTCATCCAATTAGCCGTGAAGAGGGATATGGAGGTATAGTCTGTACCCACACGGACAGCCAAAGAATTAAAGCCCGAGAGGCGAAACTAGACGAGCAATCGAGTCTGAGCAGCTTGTTGCCGGCAAGAGAGAGACACGGGCTGAGAGAGAGCGAAAGAGAGACAGAACCCAGCAACGAAGGAATGCTGCGCTTGGTTACAGCGGACCGAAAAGGGAACCGAACAATACAGTGCGCAGCCCAGTCGGGGCGTCCCAATGGGGCCAAAACATGGCTTGGGACACAGGCTTGGCTGAGACAATTACGCCTGTCCATCTACGAATATACATAGAGGCGCGTGCTTCTGACGCTGACGGCTGGGGGCCGGGCAAGGTACCGCAGAGCAGAAGTCGTCGATGGTGGGCCCCCCTGCTGGCTCGTATAGCGGCTGCACAGCAGCGTATCTGCATCTGCCGGCCGCTGTCGACACCGGGCGTGTTGGACACATCGAGGCAGCCCTTGCTGCGGTAATGATCCTGATCCAACCGAGACACTGGCCTGGCTGCTCTGCTCTGCTCTACTCTGCCCGTTCGTCCCATGCCACTGGGAAGGGGTCGACAGGTGGAGGGAGTCGAAAACAGGTACCACCCCCACACGCCATAGGCACACGCCCCCCCGAGAAGCGCAGACTGTGAGGGGCCGTACTTGGAAGCGTGCAGAGTTGTGAGTTGTGCAGAGCCCGTTCAAGTGGGATGGCGAGATCCACTACCCCGGTAACCCATGGCGGCGGATGCGGATGAAATTGGTAGGTGGTGCGACCAGGCGGCCAGCATGCGCGATGTGCAGTGACGGCGCTTCAGATTGGGCAATGATGGCGATGGCGATGGCGATGGCGATATGGCGATGAGGATTTGAGTTGCCGGTATATGCGAGGTTAATTATGGAGAGAGATAAAGGTAGAAGCTTCGAGAGGAGCCAAGATAGAAGCTAGAAATGGCAGCCTGAGGCACATGCGAGGGACTTTTTTTTTGGAAGTCCGGCAAGTCCTATCCTGCAATACACATGGATGGAAGGTGCGGCCGAAAAGGGCAATCCTGTGCCCAATGCGTGCAAATGCATGCGATTACGGCCGATTTCGCTGACGAACCCATGCAATCAGGGCCTGGGCGGCTGCTTCCTTTTTTTTTTTTGTCTTCATTTTGCCCCGTTTTACCTGTAAACTTTCTTCTGCATCGTGTCTTCGGCTGTCTCTGGCTGATTTTACTCTCCGCAAATAAGATTCCCGCATGCACTGACTCTGTACCGTCATCAATCAGACGATCACTGATTCATGCACGCCTCAGCTGGCATTGCCTCTCTGCTACTACTGTAGGTAATTGATACCACCATATGGATAGTACCTGATCTGTCAACTCCCAATCACCAGCATCGGCCTTTCTGCCCTCCCCCCAGCATCGTCGTCGCCGGCCAAAATCCACGGGATGCCTGCCACGCTGAGGTGAGGTGGCCCTAGACTCGTCCGTTTGGGGTGCATTTCGACGCCTCCCGTCCGTGCCAGGGGGGCGCCTTGAGTACAAGTATGACGATAACACAGAGGAAATTAACAAGCGCCAGCCTGCCAGGCTCCTGCGTTCTCGGCCGCCCTTTGACGGCATCAGGCCCTCGTTCTGATGTGATATGTTACAGACGCCGTGCGCGAGACGGCCATGACAGCATCGACGGGGCCCGCCATCGCGCTTAATACTACAATCGATCACGATATCCCTGTTCAAGTTGACTCATGCAGTCAGCCATCCAGAGCTTCGCCCAACACAACCACCCTCGACTCGACCTGTCAATCGCAAGTCGACAGGGTGAGCTTCCGTTTCCCCATTGGCACAAACGACATGGCACCCCTCCCTATTGGCTCACGCAACATGGCACCCCTACCCACGCATATGCTACCTCTTTATCTCTCCGGGGTAGAGCTGCCCGAAGCCGTAGCGCCAAGGGGACCAGGGAAGCAAATATTGGCAGAGCTTACGGCATAGCTCAGCACGAGCATGCAGAGCTGCCGGCCTATCAGTGGAGTCCGGCGCGTGACAAGCTCGGGATGCTGCCGTACCATTCGTTTCGTACCGCCGTATATCAGCACGATCCCCGCCTGCTTATTCGCAGCCCAATGGCCGTATCCCAATCCCCTATCATATTCCCATCTAATCGCCTTTTCTCCTTGCTCTTACGCCAACGTCAAAACTACTAAGACACATTCTACTAGGTACCTACGTGGCTTTTTTTTTTAAACAGGGTTCCCGGCTAAAGCGGACTGATCGGCAATCTCGTCAATATGTCCGGATCTGGATCTACGCTCAGAGGACTCGTTCAAGTTTCCTCCCCGGCTGATGGTGTCAGAACCATCACCTTCAACCGACCGCAGAAGCGGAATGCTCTGTCCAGTGAGCTTCTGGCCGAATTCCTCACCGAGCTGTCCGCGGCTTCCAAAGATGCTGCCGTCAAGGTCATTGTCCTTACGGGCTCTGGCGGGTTCTTTTCGGGTGAGATTGGGCTTTTGACTTTATTTGGTTGATGTGAGAGGCGCCAGTCGAGCGTTGGAGGGGCAAAAGGTTGTCCCTCTTCTCACTTGTCTCTTTGTCGTTTTGCCTCTTGCCTCTTGTTTCTTGTTTCTTTTCTTGTTTCTTGTCTCTTGTCTCTTGTCTCTTGTCTCTAGTTTTTTGCCTCTCATTGCTTTTGATGTGCTTCTTGGGTCCACACATAAGATGAACCCTGGCTGATGATTACCGGGGCCCTGGCCTCTGCATAACAGCCGGCGCCGATCTCAAGGATATCGCCGCGCTCGACGCGGCTGCTGCCCGATCAAGCAGATATCTCGAAAATCTTTGCAATGGCATGGCGGCTGTACGGAAGCCTCTTCTGGCAGCTGTTGAAGGACCTGCAGTACGCATGACCCCCTCGCACCTTTTTTTTTCTCCTAGTAGTTCTTAGAGATGTGCTAACATGGGGCTATCCAAGCTTGGGGGTGGGTTTGAAGTTGCACTTATGGTGAGTGGTGTTGCGTGTCCACTGCGCTGAATTTGCACGTGAAAATCCCGAGTACAACAACTTCCTATCTCAGCGCCCATGCCGAAAACATATGCACCTCTCGACATATCTTGATAAACATACAGATATGCATAGCCTTGCGTTCTGCCAATTGGAGGCATCCGATATGCTGACATATAGATGATCGCAGTGTGATATGATATTTGCATCCAAGAGCCGAACCTACTTTGCCCTGCCCGAAGTCAAACGGGGGCTGATTCCCGGCGCGGGGGGCACTCAACGGCTTACGGCAGCGCTCGGCAAGTTCAAGGTATGTGCTGAACTGCATGCTTCTCAATATTATTCCCAATTCATCCAACATGCTTTCTTGCTTTATTGGTACTTTCGGATTGCATCCTGGTGTGGTTCCTGTATCATCGCAGGGCTCGCGGCACTTTTGCTGCTGCACAGGAAAGAAGTGGTGTGCGAGAACCATTGTTGTCAGGACGAAATCGACGCTTCGTATATGCCGCTCGCTCACATCAAATCAGGCAATGCGAACTATTCTTTTGGGCAAACCCATCACTGCCGAGGAAGGACTTTCACATGGTCTTGTTTGCGAACTCTTCGAAGACGGCAAGGTGCTTGAAGAAACTGTCAAGGTGGCCGCCGATCTGGCCGCGAATGCGACCGAAGCTATGCAGCTTGCCAAAGAGGCCATCTGTCGTGGTAAGATGCCGGTTGATCCTTCGTTGAACTTTTGTCGTTATCATCATTATGAATGCGGCTAACGCAACAATGTGCTTTCTTCTCCATCAATAGCTGATAGTCTTGGGCGTGATGACGAATTCGAGAGGACTCTGTATTACATCACGATGGGAACGGAGGAAAAGGTGAAGGGGGTGAATGGATTCCTCAAGAAGACTTGACTGGATTGGGATTTGCTCAACATCAACTGAGGGTCTTGCATGGCACATCGACCCAATGAACAGAGGAGAGTCCCAGCACACAAAACGTGCTTTCGGACTTTAGCACGCCAAGTCAATCATTTGCCTTGTCAATCCTGAGGCATTTTGCATGGGGACAATCGTATCTGTGCTTTCCAGGTTATGGATGTTTATCTTTCCAGAATGAGAACGAACTCGTAATACCCTGCACCGCCTCTAAGCGTTGAGTCTTGATTATCCACTTGAGATGGCCCGTCACAATCACCCGTTGACTCGCACAACGACACAACTGCCCGTACAGGCAACTTCGGGGTTCTAACGACTTCCCAAAATAACCTCATCACCAGTTTTATCTCACCCCGTTTGATCCATACGAGTGAAGACTCCCGATCGTTGTCACCCTTTGCCACAGTGAGGCAAACCGTTGTCCAAGCACCCCACAGAAGGTGAAACTTTCGTATATCAACAAATAATGATGAATCTCTCTACCTACACATGAGTACTGACATGTTTCAGTCAGTCTTGTTGTTTTCACAACCATGGCTATATCCGGGCTAATACCCACGGCAGACAAAGACATGGCAGATTCCCGCCGCGCGAGTCAGAGAGATGTCGTGTTCCTGCTTAGGATGAGTCTAGAAACCTGCCTATATTATACATGGTTGCTGCCTGCTGTCGCATTGCAGTAGGTATGGGCCCGAGACACGCATCTGCAGCCGCAACCAACCAGAAAGGCCTGGCCAACAGCGGCATACATGTCCAAGTGCCAGGCAGACACTCACGCAGATACCACGATGCCCGCATCCTGGCCGCAGATGACATTTGGCACACCGCCCAAGTGCATAATACTGTACATGGAGGCAATGTGTGATGACGGGGTGGGTGCGGCATCCCTTGTTGTACAGATTGGCTTGACTGAGATTGTGCCACCATCCATCTCAACTAGACGCCCAACACAACACAACACAACACAACACAACACAGACCTGGGCCATGACTACCCGCTCCAATCGCCATCAGGTTCATTCAATCGGATGGGAATTAATGAAGAGATCGGCGAGGTATGCAAATCACATGACAGTGCGACACCGCATCGTGTCTCAGTCATTTTAAAGCCGCTGCATTAGCCTGCCGCATCTGCATCGCTTCAGGTCGAACATGGCAATTTCCACTCTATATTTACAGGCTCTCTCGTCACGGAGTTGCTCAAGCTGGGATCAAGAGACAGACAGAAACATGGAGCTCCCGGTCCGGGGCCCTTTTTTTTTTTTTTTGTCCTTTTTTTTTCGTATGAGACATCTTCCATGAGCCACATTCCTCCGCCATCTAAGACAGCAGACTCAGACACCATCTCCCGTCCATCACAACTACACATGTCACGGCTTCCCCTCTCTTTCACACCCTCTCTCGTGTTATTCTGTCTCTCTTTACTACCCTCCCCTTCCCAACCCGATCCACTCTGTCCCGAAGATCCTCGCCGCTACATTGGTGATTGGCAGTCCTGCATCGGGCCATTAGGAGCTTTTGTCCCCGGAACCGATCAGCGCGGCAAATGTGCCTCAGACAAATTACATTCTCACACCATCATTTGCTGAGACACTTGAAATTACCCACGGGTATTTTTAAGAGGCTCGTACTACCCCCCAGGTGAGCGGCACGCCCGTCAGGGGGTGGCTTCTGCCTTTGCATCCCAAAAGCAATGCTACCAGGAACTTGGGAATGCTTGAGATATCGCGGTCTGCTTTTGGGCCGCCACGAGGCTGAGACGATTCCGCGCACCTGGTAGTAGGGATATCACTTATGACGGCAATCGTCTCGTCGTCAGCTCCCGATACAGAGAGTGGTAGCAATGCATCTACCATAGATGAAGTATGCAGAATAGTTGGATGGCGTTCTCTTCGAACGAGTACTACGTAGAGGTGATCAATGCAGAAACAACCCTGAATCGGCGACTCAGGGATTATCCACCGCGAATCGTTTTGCTGGCTGGACCACTCTTGAGGCAGTGCAAGCGAGATTCTTTCTCTCTCTTTTTTTCTCCTTCTTTCTAAAACTCAGGTGAGAGAACAACTAGTGAGGAAATCAGGTGAGATGTTGTCCCTGTGGATGACTGCGGGTATTCTACTGAGACAGCATACTACAAGGAAACTCGCGATTCGGAGCGCGAGCCGCTTCTTCGGCCGCTTTTCTGTTGAAATCGCGAGGCTTAGCAGTGCCCTGTGCGGTGTGGCCTCTCGACAGACGGTATATTATATACATTTGTGGGATTTTATGCTGATACTTTAGTGCATACATGTTACTCTGTGTATATGGTATGGCACGTACTGGCATGGACACTATACACGTATATACGCCTCCTTTCTTGGGCAGTGTTCTCGTCGTAACATGTCATCTTCTTTCCAAGATACACGGCTTCTGGATTGGCCGATCGCCCATCCCTTGCCTCCCTCTAGTGACAAGTCAAACGCTCGCCTAGGCCTCTAGAGATTTGGAGCAAAAAAGTAAAGAATCCGGCTCGACATCCGGCACGGCACAGATGACGCTAAAGGGGGGGTCCCCAAGAATGTCTGTTTTCTTTCGCCGGTGCTTCGGGAACTTTTCCTTTGTTACCCGGCGAAACTTGTGGTTCATCCCTCCACCCCTTGATATTGAGAAAACAACGCTTAGGATGCTCCTTTTCTACAAGTCTGTTTTTATCCCTTGATAGTGTCTCTTTTCTTTTTCTTTGCTTTTTCTTCCTAGCGCCGTGTAATCAGATGATTTTGACGCTATTTGTCTTTCATTTTTCTTTCCTTTCTTTTTTTTCTAGTGGAATGATTGGGCCGGCGAGTTCCCGTAGATGACTCTTTAACGCCGGGAACAAGAGGCTTTTCGTTTTGTCTTGAATGTATGGGGAAGGAAAAAGCATGGTGTATTTCGCTTAACGGTGTGGTATAAGTGACGTGTCATGTGGCTGATTAGGGTCCCCATTTGACAGCTCCCCAAGGTTTATTGGGTGTGTCTCGTGTTAGTGATGCACGGAAGCGAGAGGAGATGGAAGAGAGGTGTGTGTGTTGATACGGGGGCGTAGATGTGGTTTTTGCATGGTTCCCTTGTGTGGATCTGGTTGCGGAGATGAGGAGATTCCCGGGACCAAGGCATTGGGATTAGATGGAAGTTTGTTTTGTATAAGTTTGGAGGGAGGGGATTGTGAATGTTGTGTTGAGGTGAGTGGGTGCATTGGTTGTGAAGCGTATGAGATATGTAGGTACCTAAATATGCGAGTGTAGCAAGGGGGGAATGTTGGCTTACCCTGGAATGAAGTCGGAATGGTAGATTGTAGTGTGAGATGGAGCACAGAATGATATAGACGGCACTGAGTTAGATGTCAACTTGGGAGGATATGTAGACATATTATAAGCCATGTGTAGGCTAGGAAATTAGATGTAAAGGAGGTTGAAACTATTCGCGAGCTTCATTCTTCTTGATGCGCACACACATTGACCAACTACTTTGTTGAGATGGGAATATGATACAAAGTCAGTCCATTCAACTCATTCACTTTTCCTCCAATGACGGCATCACCATCCAATTAAATTCATCATTCGTATTCTCTTCACATTAATCTAGGTACTATCTAGATTTGAATCCCACACTCGCCTCATTGCATCGTATATCCAAATCTTTTGCTGACAGGGGGGGCACGCAAAGCTCCGATTTTCCACCCCCACCATTTTCCCTCCACGTCAAACCCATCAACTCACCACTCATCACATGTCAGCACAGGCACTTTCTCACCACCACTTACACCTACACACAAACTCATCCTCGTCCTCATCATCAATACATCCTCGTCTCAGGTATCAAGCAAAATAGACACAAAATGGCATCTCATCGAAAAGCCCTGCGCGACTGGCTCTACCTCTTCATCATCGGCACCCAACTCTTCGGCATGCTAGGTTCGTAAAAACAACAACACCAACAACACCCCCTCAATCACTCACAACTAACAAAAGAAAAAAACCTCTCCAAGCCCTCGATCTCGTCGCATTCTACCCCAAATCCCTCTACCAACCCCCCTCCTCCCCCCTCCACTTCCTCCTCTCCCTGCGCGCCTGGTACGTCGCGTCCACCGGCGATCCCTTCTTCGCCCAGCAATCCCACCAGCCCTGGTTCGACGTCTTTCTCTACATCGAGGGGCTCGTGCAGCTGCCCCTCGCGGCGTACCTCGTCTATCAATTGGCTTCGAGCAAGCCGACTTCGGGACCTGCTGAGCTTGCCGGGCTGGCGTTTGGGTCGGTCACCTTTATGGGCGCTGCGGCGTGCTGCTTCGAGTTGTTGCACATGGGCGAGGATGTGGTGAGCGAGGAGAAGAAAGGGTCGTTGCTGTATGGCACGTATTTTCCGTTTGTTGTCATCCGTAAGTTGTCCGTTTTTTGCTACATCTCTGCAATTTTGAGTCGTGTGTGCTTTGAGACTGATGGGTGATGCAGCTGCTGTATTGGCTGTGGACATGTATTTGCGTCTGCTGCCTCGTGTCCGCGAGACTCATGTCAAGGCAAAGACGCAGTGAAAAGAGTCTTTCAATGTCAAGGAGAAGTATCCGGTTTATATAACAAACACCATGTCAAGAGAGTAATACAATGTATTAGAAACCCAAATCTTTCCGGGAGTTGATTGCGCTCCTTTTTGCAAAACCCGCGGTAGCCACCCAAACTCCAGTCACCAGCCATCTCATACAAGTACACGATACAAAACAGGATTCCCATCACCTAGTCCTTTCTCTTAGAGTATCCCCATCCATTGCCCACGCCATAGCCCAGCGGCGTAGCTCCGCCCATGGCCCGTCCCTTGAGCCTCCGGGGCAGAATCACGCCCATGGTGTACATGCCAGCCACCAAGAGACCGGCGATAAACGAAACCAGACTGTAAAAGACGGTGCTTGCATAGATGTGTCCTCCCAAGCCCTGCCACTCCACCCTGCCCTCCGTCTTGGGCAGCATCGGCGTCGGGAACCATCGCACGGAGAAGCTAAACGGCAGCGGATCCCCAATCACGAGCTTCTTGGTGAAGGACCCGGCCATGTGGCTCAGCGGACTGGTGCTGTACGAAACGGCCGAGTCGAGGACGCCGCTGTCGTGATGGTGCGTGTGGTGTTTCGGCATGCTGTGCAGCAGCACGTTCATGTGCGTGCTGATGTGCATGTGACTGAGCTGCAGCGTGCCGGCCAGGGCGAAGATGAGCGGGATGTACTCCTGCTCGGGCGGCTTCTCGCCAATGACCTCGACGTGGGCGGCAGGGCGGGCGGGCAGGCGGCACGAGAGCGGCGCGTCGTTGTGGATGTAGAACTCGAGCAGGTGGAAGAAGGGGTCGGTGATGAGGGGGACGGTGCAGTTGAGCTCGCCCTCGACGCCGTACTGGAACTGCAGAGGCTCGCCGGTTTCGTTGCAGGTCGGGAAGGGGATCCATTGCAGCTGGTGGTTGGGCAGTTCGACATGCTCGCCCGTATCGCTAAAGAAGAAGGAAGAGGGAGAGCCAGTCAGCTTCAATGTCACGATAGCTTCAAGCTTTCCGTCTGTCTGTCTGTCTGTCTGTCTGTCTGTCTGCCGAGAACTTACGAGCTTCGGTTCATGCACTCGACGTGGATCGGCGCGCCATAGTGATATGAAGGCAGCGTCCCAGGATGATTGGGATTGGCCGCCGCAAACGACGCCAGACCACCAACCAGCGTTGCGACGACGGCGAACAGCATCGTGGACGGGCGGAATCTTGGTTGGAGGTGGAAGCTATACGAGATAGCCCTAGCTACTGTAATCAATCAATCACCCCCCTTTTGTATAGCCCGCTTTGTCTCTTCTTTTTCTCTCTCTCTCTCTCTCTCTCTCTCTCTTCTTCTGCTTCTCTTCTCTTCTCTCTTCTTTGTCTTCTTCGAGGTTGCACGCCGAGCCGCCGGTTCAAAGTCGGCTGCGATCCATTTGCCGGCTGCGCAGATGCGACGGATCGAAAAAGGCGTCGTGGTGTCCTTTTGCGATGCTGGAATTCGATGCGTGGCAAGACTAGCTTCAGAAATGTAGGTCCATCGCTAATTTCGGAGAGCTGCGCCACAGTGTTGGTTGATGTTTGGAGTGCATATAAATGTGGCTGCGTGGCATGCCAATGGCTTTTGACAGGTGCCAAGTGCTCGGTACCGTATGTACTCTTACACGACATCATTCACAGCTTCATTTACTCACTTATAAACAATTACATGCAAAGTGTTCAGTATATATTCATAGTGACATCTCATCACATGATGCTCAGCTTGACTCTTCCTTATCCACAGTCCCCCTCATGGTAATAACCAGCCACTCAATGCTCCACCCCCCTCCCTCATACTTCTTCGCCAGATGCTGCTTCAACAGCTCCTTCACCTCGTCCAACGAATGCGCACTTCTCACCTCCTCGCTCCAGAAAGTACTCATCACCCATGGCAGCATCATGCTAAAACAGTCCACAAACTCTGACGCATCCTCAAAAGTATAAGTGCCTCGGTTCTCTTTGACTGACACGTTGGCAAGCCCAAGGTCCTCAGCAAGGTGCTTTTCGATCCAAGCTGCGTCGTCCCAGTGGCCGGAATGGTGCATTTGCATGGGCATTGGGTCTGGGAACGGCGCGTCGAATGGCAATGAATCTAATGCTGAGCGCATGTCGGGGATCCAGAAGATGCTGCCATTGGCCTTGGACCAAGTTGAGGCGCCAAAGGTGCCGCCTGGCTTGAGGATTCTCATGCAGTCTGCGGCTTGTAAGCACATTAAACCCCCATACCATTGACCGCTCAACCTGGACAAGTTACCTTTTACAACTGCATCCGGATCTGGGATAACGTGAAGTGCCAAACCGAGGGCTACATGACTAAAGGTATTGTCCGGAAGCCCTGTGTTCTACATGACAAGCCGTCAACCCCGAGTATCAGGTAATAAGACATCAACGGCATGAGCTCACCATGGCATCAAGCACAGTCGCCTTCACATTCACCCACTTCTCGCCCACAATCCTCTTCTTCACCAAATCCACCATGGCCGCCGAGCTGTCAGCACATGTAAACGAGCTCCGCTGCAACACTTGATCGGACAGCGCAGCCTGCACCTCCTGCATCACCACGCCCGATCCACACGCGCTGTCCAGAAGAACCGCCGGCTCCGTGGTTTCATGATGGAAGCCCATTTGCTTGATGAGAGGCTCGGCAATGACCCTCATGACGCTGCGCGAGAACCGGGTAAAGTCTCGCTCAAACGAAGACAGCGTGTCGGCGGTATGGAAGTGTTCCGACATGGTCTTGCCCATGGTCTCAATGTCGTTTGTGGCAGCCATTTTGGAGTGACGAGGGATAAATGTTGAAGCAATAGATGCAAGTCTTGAAGTCATTCACAATATAATTTAGAAAAGTATTGAAACTGCGTCTGGTTACTACCATATTAAACTACCATCCATCGCATCTACAAGCGCCGTCTTTTATGTACGTCTGTGCAAGTATCCGACAAGTCCCCGTGCGTCACCACAAGCGCAAAGTCTCCGCGATGTTTGCGGTTGCACTTTGTGTGAGTAATACACGCTCATTCACATGCATCATAAATCACAGAGCACCAAATTGGAAAGCAACGAGGGGTTTTTTTTAAACTTGACATATATCGACTTGTGGAATGGAAGTGCAGCGTGTGGAAACTCCATTCCCCCCGGATGCAAAATCACCAGCTGAATGTCCCCGCAATCATCCATCCAGCTCCGTCAAGCCTGCGATTCCAAAGCTAGGGCAAGGAAAAGGAAAACAGAAACCGATGCAGATTCCATCCAAGTTCTCCTCAAGTCTAAAAGCCCTCGCCGCCTCCCCCTTTTTTTCCCTATTTTCTTAGTAAAGTAAATAAACTCTTCTGTTGGTTGGTGAGACTCTGGGTGTCCAGCCTACGGGAGACCTGGCGGACATGATCCAAAGCCTCAAAATAACCCCCCTTTTGTAAACAGCAAATGCCCAATGAAAAAGATACTGTGCTCTCAGCCGTCTTCTATCATTCTGGAGAAGTTGGTGTGCAAGCTTCCAGGACGGCGTCGCTTCAAAGGTGCTGCTCGGGGGGTTTTAAAAAAAACGTGGATGTTTTCGGCCGATTTATGCGGAAGGTTTCTGTGGGATCGGAGCCGAAAGTGGGGGGGCCGGGGAGACGGACATGTCCGGCGAGGAACGTATCATGGCATCGGAAAGATTCGATGCTTTGGTAATCGTCTGTATCGTACAGGGCACATGAATTTATATGCGGGTATATCGTAAATCGTCGTCGTAAATTGTACACCAGAGCATTGTGCTTTGATTTCAAGGAGACAGTCTCCTTCGGACAAGAGAAAGTTGTTTAATAAAAGAGTGAAATGGCACAGATCCAGCTGGCCCGCCTCAATCCGACACTCCGGACTGACAACCTCACAACTCCCCCCCTCGAAAGAATACGAGGAACAGAATAGTAGGTATAAAAGAACAAGAAATTCAAAGTAAACAAAAAAAAATCGCCGTTGAAACCACCCCTCTTATATACCCACAGACTACTACGTGCGGTACCTGACCTGACCTGATTTGACCTTGCCTTAACCCCCCCTCTCTCCAACAATCAAATCAGGCACCGCCAAAACAAAAAAGGGCACGCAAACCAACAACAACCAAAAAAAAAAGGTACCTGCAGCTTCTCTGGCCGACTCAAACCATGCCACGTAAACCCGCCCTGCCCCTTGATCCCCAAAACGGGCTTACGCTGTAGCCCATGTGCAAAGTTCCGCATTAGGCTTTTCTCCCCTTGCTGCAACGTCCGAGCCGAATCCATCCATCCATCCATCCAAAAAGAAAAAGAATGTGACGAAACCTACAATAGAAAACAAACACATCGACAAAACCTGAGAAAAATCGAAACCTAGACCAGCCAAAGAGAACCAAGTTAAAAAAAAAAAGGTGAGGCGGTCTGCAATCTCCCCTCATCTGCATGTACGTGTACTACCTAAACTCGTACACCACTACCGAAGATAGCCCCCCCCCCCCCCCCGTCCTATCAACTTCTGCAGATCCCCCTCGCCTCACCGGAAAACGACAACATTGCGGTCCGGCGATGCAAAAAAAAAAAAAAAAGCTTCCACTTTTTTTTCTTGCATCCTGGGTTTATCATTTGTTCCCCCTTCCCGCACTTTCCGAAACGGTCCAATTGCGCGCTTATGCGCGATTCTCTTCCTTCTAGCTGGTCATGTTTTGCCCCGAAGCCGGTTCTCTTCCTTCTGGTTGGTCGTATTTCGGCCCCCCCTGGCGTCCTGCAGTTGGCTAAAATTCCTCCCATCCATCCCTTGGGCATCATCCCATTTGACCAACCAAAAAAAAAAAAAAAACGAGGCGAGTCCATCATCCGACAACCCAAAATAAAACCCAATCAAACGTCATCAAGAAAGCCATTAAATCATTTCTACACCGATCAAATCAAAATCAGTAACAAATGGAAAAAAAGAAAAGAAAAGAGAAATCGAAAAATAGAATTGTTGTCGAAAACCGCGCTTCTCCAGTTTCTTTTGGCCCTTCGCATAATACTACATAAAACCTACCTACTAACTAGTTTCGCATTTCTACTTTATCCACGCTTCTGCATATATATGCCCTTGCTTGTGTGTGTGTGTGTGTGTGTGTGTGTGTTGTTCGTTGTTCGTTGTTGTTCTTCTCTTATACAAATAATCAGAATCTTTAGTTTAGACTGAACCCTTTGCCCATTTGGCGCCCCATCACAAACCATAATTGCATGTGTCCTTTTTCTTGTCGTTTCTTTCTTCTCCTCTTTCTTCTTCGCTTCGCTTCCCTTTTGTGTTTCGCTCTTCCTGCCCTTTGGACATGACTTTGAACCAAGCAAACACTAAAAGGCAGAAAACAGAAACGAAAAGAACAGTAAAAAAAAAGTGACAAAATGATTACCATCTTCCTTCCGCCCTCCCTTCCTCCGACGTAGCTACCATGAAAAAAAAAAATCAAGAGAGAAAATAGGAAGTAGAAAATAGAATCCACCGGATCCGCTCACATCTCACATCTCACATAAACCTCATGCTCGCCGCTGGCACTACCCGCTCCACTAGCCCGGCCACCTCTCTCCGCAGCATCCTCAGCGCTCGTCGCACGTCTGCCAGGTCTGCGCCGCCGTTGTTGTGGCCCTGGCCCGGTCCTGGCAAGGCAGCCTCGCAACGTTGCAGGAGGTCGCTGATAGAAGGGCCAAGCGAGCCTCCCTTACCTGCGCCGCCACGTCGCCGTACTTCTGCCACCCAATCGCCAATCACGTAGACGATGATCTCGATGATGCGGTTGCGCACCATGCCGCTAAAGCCATAGTCCTGCGTATCAAACACGCTCTCCAGCACGCGGACAATCATATCATGGGACACGCCTAGAGACAGGAATAGCTGCACCGGCCACGTAGGATCGGCGCCAATCGTCGCGTCTTGCTGGAAAGCGACGGCGTACCGACACAGCTGCGGAAGAAGCGTCTGGATCGGGAACACGAAGCTATCGAGCGACGTGTGGTGAGCAATGTTTTGAATCTTGCTCGTCACGGCCTCGTACGGCAAGGGGGGCATCTGCATGCCCGTCTCTATCGCCTCGTGTCTTGCCATGACTTCGTCGTGAGTCTGCTGGATCAAGTTGTCCCACGTCGACGAAATGGTCGTGGGGTTGCGGTAGTTGGCCGTGTGGTAGATCAGCAGGCACAGATCGTAGTATCCTGCCTGATCGGCATAGTCGTTGAAGAGCTGCACAAAAGTGCTCGTTAGTACCCGAAACTGGAAAAAGTGACAACTGGATAATGAAAAGTGATAGGTTGCAAAACAAAACAGAAGAAAAAAGTCGGCGAATTTTGGGAAATGTTCATTGGGGTTATGCTTACCTCTGACAGGCTAATGATCCTACCATTGAGAGCCTTTTCAATCTCAACCTTTCGATCCGCATCGATTCTGTCGTCTGCCATCAAGCGACCCAGCAGGTCGTCCTGGATGTTGGCCACCTCAAGCAGGTCCGTCACCTCGTGGTTCAGTCGCTGCTGCTGCTGTCGGCTGATGCCGACCGTCGCCACGTTGGCATTGGCCTTTGCCAAGCTGAGAAGCCTCAGCCTATCCTTGATGCCGAGCGCAAAGTCGGAGCCGGCCAGCTCAGCTTGCACTTCGGCCGCGTCGAAGAAGCGGCTTCGATTGGTGTAGAAGCGGCACAGGAGGTCGGCGTGCTCCACGTTGGTGCCCGCCAGCCGCTGCAAAAAGGTTATAACGTGCGGCGAGTCGATGCCCAGTATCCGCTCCGTCCACCCCTGCTCAATGTACCACTCGTACAGATCAAAGTGGAACACTTCGTCATCCGACCCGTTGACCACCTCGTAAGCCTCATTTCTCTTCGTCGCGATGAGCGTTGGCCGCCCGTCAACCATAAGCGGCTCGAGGCTCGAGGCAGCGTCTAGATGTCGAAGTATCTCGTGTATCAGGTCGTAGACTTTCCTCCTCTCGCCAAAGGCGCTGATGCGAGGATCGCCCGCGGGCCTGCCATCATTGATCCACATCAAGGCAGTATTGCCTCTGTCTTGCTCTCGGGCGACGTAGAGGCAGAGCTGGATTGCGCCGGCGTAATACTTCATATCAATGTACTGCCCAATGGCAGTTTGCAAGTTGCCATACGTCAGGCTGCGGGCCACTTTCTGGAAGAGGGTCAAGCTCTCGTTGAGGAGGATTCTAGACTGGTTGGTGTTGAGGGGCTGCTCGGAGGCTCTCTTGAGCGACTCCTGGGCCTTGAAGATGACCACATCATCCGGGCTGCAGAAGCTACCGCACCTCCGCCTTAGCGCATCCGCGACTGTCTCGACATTTGAGCCACTTTCAATGTTGCGGTTAACGATGGCCTTGACAAGTAGCTTGGCGAGATCCTTGCCATCCGTCTGTGAGAAGAGCTTCTCATACGTCAAATCCTTGAGCTGCTGCCGAGAAGTATCATCCAGTCTAGCATAGATGTCTGACACACGCTCGTCAAACAGCATGAGAACAAATGAGATGCCTTCTGAGATGCTCTCCATTAGCTTTTGCAGAGCATGCAGCGCCTGGTGCTCTGCCTGCAATGCCACCTCTTCCTGTCTGCTGGAAACTCTCTGCAAGTCGGAAGGGCCAGACATCCCCTGAATGAGGCCCTTGTTAGACTCGATGAATCTCCTTAGGCGTTCGAGGTTCTCTTGGATGGCGATGAGCTTGGGCGGAGGGATCGATGAGGACACGGAAATCGTTCCATTGGGAGCAACACTCGACTTGATGACGGTAGCTTTCCAAAGCTTCCTAATCAATCTTGACAAGTACAGAGCCAATGCATCATGCCGGGACGATAGCTTGACTGAATCCGTTGTGAGTGATGACGAGTCTGTTTCCACAATGGTGGGCTGACCACCAAAGTCGACGAACAGGGCTCGCGCCCGATCCTCCGTTACCTGGTCAATTGCCTTGACGGAGCCTGGCCTGGAGTCACCTCCATGGCCACAGGCCACAGCCAACGCTGTCGAGACCGTCTCCACACGGCCATAGAGGAAAATAAGACGGCGGCACATGAGATCCAGTGCCTCATCTCCTGGAGCGTCTCGAATGGCGGCCGCAAAAGTATCCACTAGCCTCCGCCGCCGGATGACGTGAATGCCGGTGTTGGTAAGAACAGCAAACTCGCTCGGTGCCTCGTCGAATTGAACGGCTAGTTCGTTGCCAAATCCTACTGGTTGACTGGCAGCCGCAAAGGGCTTTGTGATTAGGCCGACAGCCTCAGCTCGGCTGCCGATGTCGATCCAGCTGGCTTGCTCAAAATATCTCAGGGGCGTCGTAGGTGAAGTTCGTTTTATTCTTCCAGTCTCGGGACCAGCCACAAACAGGGAATCGGAATTCGGGTCGTCCTTGTTGCTTACAAAGTCCAAGAAGAATCCAGGTGGGAAGCGGGAGCCTTGCCTGCTTGAGATCAACATTGTTGAATCGAGGTCCACCACGGCCTCTCCTGAAGGTTGACCGTTCAACCCAAACTGAGTTGTTGATCGCCGAGCAAGTGCTGAAGGGGGGAATTTGATAAACTGAACCTGCATGCTCTGAGGAGCTAGGTTTGATTGGGATCCGTACAGATAGGAAGATGCATTAGTTGCGCTGAAGAAGAGACGACAGCCAGTGTCTGTCAGCGCCATGAGGTGCAGTTTCGAGGCCTCTTGCTTAGAGATGGGACTGATGGAAACAATATTGGTTCGATCGGTCAAGAGCTTGGACTGTGTAATCATGTGCGCAATATCTCGGAGGCAGTGGAGCTTTGTCTTTTCAATCACCTTGTTTAGGCGTTCAGGAGACTCCATGTGATAGGTTCGAATAGTCGATGTGCTTGACAGGGTGTAAACCAGCTTTCTCGTGTCGTCAATGGCAATGTCGACCAGATGCTCGGGATCCCGTTGAGACCAAAAGCCAGTCTGCATGCTGACAACAGAGGACCAGCCAGGGTTCGAATGGTTGATCTTACCACACCGATTCGAAAACCACTTTTCCTCGGATTGGTAGTACAGCTCGTTGATGTCGACATCGCTGCACCCGCCATAGAAGATGCGGCCATCCGCAGAGCCGCTAATTACACGGATGTCGTTGCCGCGAGTGGGCAGGACCATCTTGGTCTGATACAGCGTAACCGTCTTCGTTCCGGCAGAGGTGTCTGCCGCAGAGAGACCGAGCAGGATGATCTCTGAGGAGGTCGCCACGACCAGGATATGTGTGATTGTGCCGACAAAGATGCCCGGCTTCGGGGGAACGAGGGCCACAGCGTGGATCGTGTGTGGCTGGTCCTCAAAGCCAATAAGCTCGGGGTCGGAGTGGGTGTAGTCCCAGAGGAAGAGCGAGTTGTCAATCACCACCCAGGCGTGGTTGATCTCAGCAAATAGGCCCATGAGGGTTTGAAGCTGGCCAGAGTTGTAATGATCGAAGACCTGGTTCGGGATCGGGTACATGTTGGTCTTCTGGAACGGAGCCCAGGCGGAGTCGGAGCCTGGCAGCTCATAGTCGGATGATGCCCCCTCTGGAACGCGTTTGCTAGTCAGCCTCGTCTCTCGCGTGATCCAGTGAGCACGTCAAACTTACGTCTACAGTAGGAATCCAGGTCGGGAAAGCTCTCGTCGAGTTGCAAGAAGGCGTTGATGGCCTTTGCGGCCTTGAGGACGGGCGGGACGTTTTCGACGCGTGGGGGCGGCAATGGAGTCAACGAAGCCAGCCCTCCCCCCTCCGTGTTTCCCGTCGCCGTCATCGCCGTCGTGCTCGTCGAGACGGTGCCCTGGGCGGCTGTTGTGGCGGCGGCAGACGTCTGGGCATTCTGGCCGTCGGACGGGAACAGCGTGCGGCGGACGGGGTCCTGAGTGTTGTTCTGGTAGCGCGCGACAATGGCTGGCGTGTTGACAAAAGCGCCCGGCACGGGGCGCAGCGGCGTGACTGGAGGAAACGACATTGTCGGGCAGCGGATGGGAATCGTGATCGTGCCGTGGCAGAAACTGCTTCACCTTCACCTTCACCTTGCCCTTGACCTTGACCACAGCAACGCGCCGGTCAGACCATCAAGGACCAGCTGCACGTGCCGTTGCGAGAGGCGCAATCCGAAGCTGCGCGTCCAAATCCGGAGCTCGTCGCCGCGATCGCTAATTGGGTGGCGGCGGGAGATGCGGGAGGCAAAGGATGGCGATGGCGGCCAGAGCAAAAAGATTGATCAACTTCTTTGATTATTTTGTAGCACTGGGAGGTTGGTACAGCTCTGCATTTTTCGTCCCTGGGCGTGGAAATGCGCTAGGCCGCATCAGGGCTTGTCTTGGCGCTGTGACCGAACGGCTTTGGTGCCTTACATAATGCAGCAATCAGCATTCGCGGGTACCAATGTAAACAATCGCGAGAATACGCTTTGATTCGAGCCTTTCTATCTATGTTGACGTCTTCCTTTTTTTCTTCTCTCTCTCTTATAGGCATGCGGTCCTTGTCGGAATATCTAATCTCCCCATAGACACTCATACCAACCAATGCGAGACCACCGATTGATAGCCGTGATACGCTTCATCCGCCCCCTGCATGCCCATTGAATAAGCCCAACACAGAGCGATTCACTTTCTGTTCATTGGGCCCAGTCCTTCATTTTGTTCATCTGATAGTATATGCCATCTCTTCCAAAGATATTCACTTTAATATTTTGTCGAACTCAGCCACCATATAGGCCAAGTAAAACCAGTTTATAAACATCACTTTGACGCCCGTCTCCATCACCTATTGAAGCTTCACGCGCCTCATTAACACAAAGGAGTACCCATAGAGTTCCATTGAAAATATGATTACTTACTACCTAGTATCTCTTGTCTTTAGCCTCACAAAATTCATATCTTACATAGTGTGGCCGAGAACCCATGGTACAAGATGTATTGACGATATTTCATCCAATCGTTAGTCGCCTCAACCATTAGTCTCACGGCGGCTCCAACGCCATAAGCCTGTTATGTCCTTTCCCGCTTCTTTTCGGTACCGTTCCAATATGTAGCCACAGGGCTTTGAGCCGGTTACTGCTTCTTTGCCTCGCGGGCCTGCTTCCGAAGAGCACGGCGGCGAATGTCAATATGCATCTTCTTGTTGTACCAGATCGTGATGGGGCTGTTGACACCAGCTACATTCTCAATCACCCACAGCATGAATGCATGGCTCCACCATGGAGTGTAGGTGTTGGGCGCCGTCTGGTAGCCGCCAAGTCCGACTTTGCCCAGCGTAGACTTGACGAAGCCACGAGGGTTGGGGACGAGCAAGCTGGTGCGGCGAACCTTGCTCATGGCGGTGGTGACAAGGTGACTGAGGACCAGGTAGACATCGACGTTGTAATCAGAAAGCTCAGATGACAGAGCATTGCTCCACTGCTGGAGGAAAGCCTTGCTGCCGGAGTAGGTGGCCAGGTAAGGCGTGGGAGTCCAACCACCGAAAGAGCCCATGGTCAAGATCAAGCCACGCTTGCGCTTTTGGAGAATGGGGGCAACGATCTGAGTAGTCTTCAAGGTCCCAAGGCAATTGATGGTGACAATGTTCTGCAGTTCCTCCTTGGGCGTCTCCAAGAAGGAAACGGGAATGCTATGGCTCTGGCCGACGTTGTTGATCAGGATACCGACATCCAGATCCTGCACAAGCTCTCGTAGTCTCTCGTAGTCCGCATCGTTATCTTGGGCAAAGTCCATTGCCAGCGTCTTGACCTGCAGACCCTTGCCGGTGAACTTTTGTTCGAGGTCCTTGGCCAGAGTATCGAGCTTCGACTGGGTTCGGGAAACGAGCACGAGATTGAAGCCTTTGGCAGCGATCTGCGTGGCATATTCCTTGCCTAGACCATCGGAGGCACCGGTAATGACAGCCCAGGCGCCCGGCTTGCCATATTTACGGAGCTGTTGTGATGTCAGCGACTGAAGAAAAGAAAAACAATTCAAGCTGCAGACGCGAGGAGGGGCTCTCTTACATTGGTGCCAGGGAGCAGAAACGAGCTGAAGATCAGCCGAAGGTAGCTGAAGAACTTGGACCCCAGGTAAAGGGCGCCAATTCCAGCCAAAGCCCACTGTACGGGCTGAGGCACGTTCTCTAGGAAGCTCGTAATCGACTCCATGATGGCAGCGTTCTGCGATGAAAGGTTGAAGATGGGCCGAGGGAGAAGATTTTGGTGGGAGCTCGACTTAGTGATCTACAGGCTGTTGGGAAGCCACTTGGCCAATCATGTTAGCCATTCGCGGCCTAGTAGCCAAAGGTAAAAGACATTGGATGTCTCGAATGCCCAACAGCGCTACGGTATTGGACGATAATTGACATATGAGATCGGTGATAGTTTGATAATTGCAGATATCTCGTGACCTGATAAATCATATATAATTATTTTTACGGATATCCAAAATGCGTGATCTGTGACGAATCTGCTTCCATGACTTGGGTACCAGACATGTACTGAGTCGGCGGCCACGGGAGTGTCCCGGTACCTGACACTAAGAAAACCAATCCCATATCTTTAGCTCATCACAGCTCTACCCTTTCAAACCTCCAAGCATCCAGCCCAGACGCTTTCAATTGCACCAAACACCTCAGCCATGGATTTCATCAAGTCAATTCTGCCGCCAAACAAGGGCATTCTGCCCTACTACATGCTCATCGTACGTATCGAACCCCGATATGCATCTCGAACCCCGCCCAATCGCTAACCAATCCATCTGCCCACCAGCTCTCCGTCGTGTCAATCGGCAACTCTCTCCAGGCCTACACGACTCTGCACTTCTCACGGCGCGTCTACAACGGCCGCTTCATCCGAAACCCCAAGCTGCCGCCCGCATCCGCCAAATTCAACCCCGAGGACTCGGCCAACAAGCTGGTCCACGCCCAGAACGACCCCAAGGCCGTGGACCAGCTGACGCCCCTCGCCGGTCGGCTGTTTGGAACGTGGACGCTCATCACTTGCATCGTGCGGTGCTACGCGGCGTACCACTTGAACATTGGCCCCGTGTACAACATTGCCATCTGGACGTATGTCGTGGCGTTGGGCCACTTTGCCAGCGAGTTGTTTGTGTTTAAGAGCATGACGTTTGGCCTTCCCCAGGTGTTTCCCTTTACGCTGGCTACGATGGCACTCATCTGGATGCCCATGGTCAGAAACCACTACGTCGAATTCGAGTAGGGCGTGCTGTGTGTTGCTATGTAAACGGCGATTAAAAAAAATGTAGGAATAGCATCTAGAATAGATAGGGAATCCAAACTTTTATAATTATCTATTTAGAAGTAAAGCTCCCTAGCTCAGCTTATTCCTGTACAGCTCCCCATCGCACGCTCGGAGACGAGTTGTTGCCTGCTCTGGAGTGATATCTCGCTGTGGCTCCGCCATGAGCTCGAATCCAACAAGGAATTTCTTGACCGTCGCAGATCGCAGCAGTGGAGGGTAAAAGTGCATGTGGAAGTAGGCATTCTCAATTTCCTCTGGCGTTCCATCCAACGGAGCCTGATGAATGCCCGAGCTGTACGGGAAATGGGTTTCAAACAGATTATCATAGCGACGGGTGACCTCCTGGATGGCCTCCGCAAGTTGTAGCCGCTCATCCGCTGTGAAATCGACGAGAGCGCGGATATGGCGCTTGGGGAGGATGAGAACTTCAAAGGGCCAGACAGCCCACCACGGGCATACAACGACAAAGGAGGCGTTTTGCCACAGCACACGCTCCTCCTTTTCCAGTTCCAGCTTGATATAGTCTGCCAATAGATGCCTTCCGTGCTTCTGACGGTATTTGGTCATTTGTGTGAGCTCTTTGCCCGGCTCTTCTGGCATAGTAGACGTTGTCCAGGCCTGACAGTGAGGATGCGGGTTGGAGCAGCCCATCACCGCGCCCTTGTTCTCAAAGATTTGCATGTAGCGGTAGTTGTCCTTGGGAATAGGGGCCTCTTCCTTGGAAATGGAAAGCTGAAGCTTTGCTGCCACTTCTGAAAGCGGATTTGACGGGGCTAGATGATTGGCGTAGAGTCGGGTCCAGTGATCAATCGTTGGCAGGATGTCTTGGGCCGGCATATCAGCGAGAGTGGTATTGTGCTTTGGTGAGAACGTCAGGACATAGCACACTCCCTTGACTCCCTGAGCACGCAGCAGAAGCGACTCCAAGTCTGTAGTGTCTGATTAGCACAGGCCTTTGCTCACTCAACAAGGGGGACATGCCGTCTGACGACTGGGAGACCTCATAGTCGGGCTGCTGCTCTTTGACAGCGCTGTAGTCATTCACAAAAGCAAATGTCTTGTCATAGCTGGGGTTCTTGTCGCCAGCGGCGCGAGGATTACCAGGACAGAGGTAGCACTATATGAGTTGTTAGATGGGTTCATGTATACACGTGATGGCTGCAGCGTCTTAAACCCGCATGATGGTTGAACACTCACCTTGGGGTCATACTCGGGCAGAGTCGTTACGGACGCACTCTCTTGCTGGCCCCTATAAAATAAAGCAAATCAGCATAAAAGGGCATGTAATCAATCTTGACCCCTCACTCACTGCCACGGTCGCTTTGTCCGGTGAGGAGAGACGAGCAGCCAGCTGTCTGTTAGTGGGTTGTACCTCCGGTGGGAGATGTCGTCGAGAATGGTGTCGGGCATGACGGCGACTGTGAATCCTGGTGTTCTAGCAGAAAACGATCCGACGGGAAGAATCTGCGAGTAAAGATCCGGGAGAATAAATTATACGAAAGGGAAGGGATAGGCTGTGTTCGTGGACTGGACTGTATATTGAATCTCGGAGAATAAAGCTGAAGCTAGGCCGGAGGATCTCGAGGTGAGGGTCCCGTCAAGGACCAAAACTCGGGCTAATACGTCAATTAGCAGTTCGCCCGGACTCTGGCGAGCGGGTCGAGGGTATAAGCGCGCCAACGGAAGGGCCACGCATTAATCGTGCAGCATTCCATCCAATTGCTGGGCGTTCAAAAGGCATTACTGGGAACTATCTTCCATGTGTTGCATTATGGCCTTACACAGGGGATTATTATGACGCATCGTGGCAGGCTGGATGTGGGCTGTGATGCGTCATTTAGCGCTGCATCATCACATGGATCAAAGAGGCTTTCACATGCTTGATTTATTGGTGCGCAAGTACCTGTATATTACAACACAGCACGCACGAAATAAGGTAGACAGTGCATGCATGGTGCTACAGCGATACGGCAAGCTGCAAACTTTGAGGTGGGGGGGTCACTGAAGCAGCAGCAGGTTCAAGTACTACTGGGTACTATAGGTACTAATGTGGTGCAGGATTGAATTGAGCGAGAGAGAATTATAACAGGCATGTAATTGACAAGTATTGCATATTAATGAATGTAGATTCGATGATAGAAACACAGCAGAAGCTGATACAGAACAACAAGTACTCTCTACATCTATCTCTACCTCTCTCCAGAATCAACCACCAAAAACAGCTGGAGGAGAGGCGATTACCACATCAACAGCACAGTCACGTGATGGCATCCCTCGCCCGCATCTGGCCTAGAGCCGCTTCTGCTGCCTCACAGGCTCCAGCTCCAGCGAATTCCATGGCCGAGCGCATTGCTGGCTCCACCGGATCGCGACATCCCAACATCATCTGGCCGCGGTTGCTGGGCGGCGTCTGACCTCGTTTCCATCGGCCACCATCGCAGCGCTGCGAAATCCATCAAACAAGGCGCCGCAACTACGTCTCCCGCGCGCGCGCTTTCCACAGACACTCTTTTTGCCTCGCCACCGCACCTGCAGCCCCCGTGCCGGCTGCCGCTGTTTTTCCGGCCTGCTCCACCAATCCCAGGGTGCGAAGCTTCGCGCCAAACCGCTGACGTGCTGCGACGCTCTGCAAGATGGGCGTTATTCGCAAGAAGACGGCGACGAGGGGAGGCGAGGGTGGTGTGAAATACGTATGCGACGTTTGCTCGTGCGACATTACGTCGACGGTGAGTGACGCCGCACCCAATTGGCATCTCATGGCCAATCCTCATCCCCATGGCTCCAGCTGCTGACATAACAAAAGGTCCGTATCAGATGCGCCGACCCTGCATGTTCGGACTTTGACCTCTGCGTGCCCTGCTTCGGCAAGGGAGAGTCTCGCAACGCCCACGATCCCGCCACACACTCGTTCCGCGTAATCGAGCAGAATTCGTTTCCCATATTCGACCGTGAATGGGGAGCTGACGAGGAACTGTTGCTGCTCGAGGGCGCGGAGATATACGGACTCGGCTCGTGGGCGGATATCGCCGACCACATTGGCGGGTTCCGCGAAAAGGACGAAGTGCGCGACCACTATCTCAAGACGTTTGTCGACGCACCCACCTTTCCGCTGCCCAAGAGATGCAGCCCCCATGACTGCGAGCTTGCCAACGAAATCCCACGCGAAGAGTTTCAGTCCCGCAAGAAGCGGCGGATCGAAGAGCGGAGAGAGGCGTCTAAGAATGCGCCGGCCCTTCAGCCAAAGACGAAGCCGACGGCCAGTGTCCCCAGCTGTCACGAGATCCAGGGTTACATGCCTGGCCGTCTCGAATTTGAGACGGAGTATGCCAACGAGGCTGAAGAGGCGGTGCAGCTCATGCAGTTTGACCCTGGTGATGGGTTGAATCCGAGGACGGGAGAGCTCGAGCCCGAGATGGAGCTCAAGCTGACCGTAATGGAAATCTACAACTGCCGTCTCACGCAGCGAGTGGAACGCAAAAAGGTGATTTTCGAGCACAATCTACTCGACTACCGGGAAAATACCAAACAGGAAAAGAAAAAGACCAAGGAAGAAAAGGATCTGCTGCAGAGGGCCAAGCCCTTTGGTCGCATCATGAACCACAAAGATTTCGAAGATTTCACCCAGGGCTTACAGGATGAGCTGAATCTCAGGCAGGCCATTGCCCAACTACAAGAATGGCGCAGTCTGCGGATAGGGGACCTTCGAAGCGGCGAAAAGTATGAAACAGAAAAGTCCACCCGGATACAGAAATCCATACCTATGGGGTCCATGGATAGGGAGCGGTTGGCATCCAGCCAGCGCTCAAAGGCCCAACCTCCCCCAGAGCCCCCAAGCGGTGCAGCACTTCTCATCGCCCCCGAGCTGCCCATACGCTCGGCACAAGCCAACGGAGAAACGAATGGGGAGGACGTCAAGCCCTTGACCAACGGCCACGCCAATGGGGTCAACGGCGTCAACGGCATCAACGGGGTCAATGGCCATAGCCCAAGCAAGCAAAAATATGTTCCACAGCCCATCTCAGGCGTACAGCCCTTGCAGTTAACGCAAGAGAACGCCCCTGACTTGCATCTCCTCACACCAGAGGAGGCGAAGCTGTGCGAGGTGGTTCGGCTGCAGCCCAAGCCATACCTGATGATCAAGGAGCAAATCCTCAAGGAAGCCATCAAGGGCAACGGAACGCTTAAGAAGAAGCAAGCCAAGGAGATTTGCCGACTGGATTCACAAAAGGGAGCTAGACTATTTGACTTTTTCAGCAACGCAGGGTGGGTCGGCAAGGCATGAGGGCATTGGGAATATCCGGGGCGTACAAAGTTTGCTTGTTTCCTTGCGAGTCTGGCGACGGGGGCAATTGCTTGATTTCTTTCTTTTTTTTTGCTTTTTACAATGATGCATGATGGAGGACGCCAATGACTTTCCGAAACTAGGCTTGGTGTGTTTGTCATGCTCGTATATAGTATTTGTATAAGACAACGGAGTAGAAGGGTGTACGCGCAACGAAATACCCTTGAATCAATGATATCTTTTTTTTATTTCCTCTTGGCTTCCTCTCTGCCTAATGCCCTACTGTGTGTGTAACGAGCCAATGTGCCAATCCAGGTGGGCAAGGTGATGCGAAGTGATGCGAGCCAATCGAAACTCATCGAAACAGCGCAAACTTGACTTCTGAGAATGGCAAAGACCAATCCGTCAACCTGGCAAGCTTCTATTGGGCGCACGGCCCCCACTGGCCAGCAGATGCAAGCCGCCTAGCTTCAAATTGTTCCCTCCGTATAACTGCCTAACGGCTTATACTTGCTCAGGCACACACCCGGCACTTCATCACCAATAGAACGTCGCCTTCTTCTCTCTCTTTTCTCTCTGCTACTGTCTTTATCTTCAATTTACCTCTGGCTTTGAGACTAGAGAGCATCGATCTGTTATATAAGCCACAAGTATATGCGCGCATTTCGTCGTTTTTTCAGCGAACAAGAGGCTTTTTCCTACGAGAAGCATGTCCAACGTTACTGTAGCGTCCATCAAGAGAGTGTCTGCGAAGACGCTCTCTGAGAAGATCCTGGCAGAGCAAGAACAGGCAGAATCCAGTTTCGCCGTGATCGATGTTCGAGATGTCGGTATGTCGTGACGTGAACTTCTTTTTCCTTTTTAATGCCTGTCTGATGAAAGTGCTTCGGCATTGATATGAAAGTAAGAGCTTCTGATGGAAGAAAAAAAGACTAACATTCGAAAACAGACTACATCGGCGGCCACATCAAGGGCTCAACAAACATCCCCTGCAACCAAATCGACGCCCTCATGCCCACCCTCGTGCGCAAAGTCAAGGACAAGAAGACGGTCATCTTCCACTGCGCGCTGAGCCAGCAGCGGGGCCCCTTTGCGGCGCTCAAGTACCTGCGCGAGAGGGACGGGCAGCTGGCGGCCGTGGGCGAGGCGCCGCCGGCGGAGCAGGAGGTGTATCTGCTGGAGCGAGGGTTTACGGGGTGGCAGGAGGATTATGGCGAGGACGAGAGGCTGACGGAGGGGTTTCGGAGGGAGATTTGGAGGTGAGGGAGCGTGAATATCCCCGAGAGGTATGAGTGGAGGATAGGGTTTTGTGAGAGCGCGGTTTATGAGGTTGGATGGGCTGGGGCACGTTTTGTGGCTGGGAAGATGAAAGTATGCTGGGCTTAACGTGGTGGGTAGAGGATAGATGCTGCGAGCTCAGACATGGATATGTTTTGCGCATTGCTTTGTCCTTTTATCTGTCCCTTGTCGTATCCTAGATGAGAATGATACGTACATGGGCATCAGATGTTCTACGGGCCATCTCTCCAACCTGTGAACAATTTCATCAATAATCTCCTTGTATACTGTTGCTTCGCTTGTAATATGGGGCACTGAAGGAGACTTTGTTCAAGGGCCTGGAAGGTCATAAATGGATACGTGGGCTATAGTCGAACATTGTTCGAGACTGGTACCCTCAAAGGTTCAGGTAGCATGGTCAGTACATATAGATACTTGCACCGAACCACGATGTATGCCTCAATTCTACTACGCCATCATGAAGCTTCTTATCAGACAGCCTCAAATTCTAAACTGCCCCGTTTCAAGAAAAAAGACGCCCAAGTATAAAATGGACCAAGGAAACGGGCCTCCACCCCATCCAAGTCTACATTCCCATCTCTCCCTCTTCTTCGTCAGAAAATGATCAGCGGATCCACGAAAATGCCTTGGTTCGAAGAGTAAGACGGCTCGCCTTTTCCAAACGTCCCATGAAGATGATTAACAATTATCGCAGCTTCAGCGTTGTCGCGAGACCCGCCTATTTCATCTTTGGCCTCCTGCTTTTGGCCATTTCGTCTACGATCTTAGCGAGACGGGTAACTACGATTTACAACCTCTTCTATCCTAACCGAGATGGAAGGCCTGATTCGACTCAACCGCCGTGGTATGAACTGGTAGATGAGCATGCCGTGGATAGCGAGAGCGGAGAGGAGAGCGGAGAGGAGGACAACTGGTTGTAATGATGGGAGGCGAAAGTGACTTGGAATCTGTTCAATGCATCTACCTGTAATACGTGACTAACTGCGTACATAGTAGCCGTCCGCCTATTTTTTCGTCGAGGTGTTCCTCATGGCTGTCTTGGCACTGGATTTGCCGTTTACATGGCGAGGGCGTTTCTACTGTGGAGGCTTTATTGGTTGGGGGGTTTATTTTATTTCATTTACATGGTCAAATCGGGGCATGTTGATTGAATTTGCCATTTTTTCTGGTATCAGGATGGGTAATTTGTAGTTTGATTTGTCCAGACAGGTATTCGACTTTCACATGAGGTGTTGCTACCAAAGTGTAGATGACGGGTGCTTGGGTAATACAAAGCAGAAATGCACAACTGCAACCAAAGAAATCACGCTTATAGTATATTCCTTGTGTGACAAATCGCTTCAGACGTCAAGACTCTGCGTTACAGCCAGCGTCTCAATGATGAACAGGCTCCAGGTTGACAAAACATATTGCTGAACTTGGCGATACCTCCCCTATCTGGCCATTACTGTACTCAATGCGGAGGCTCCACGCACTAACAGGCTGCCATACAAAACTATGGGGCGCCGAGTTACTCACTGGACGGGAAGAGCTCCAGGGCATCGGCCGGATCCAGCGCAGTAACTACGTGCCACTGGCTTGTATATCTTGATCTCTCCATTCTACTTTTTTTCCCTCTCCATTCTTCTTTCTTCTCCCTTGTCAATTCGTTCTAAGGGAAGAGCCTTTTTGTCTTGTCTGTTCCCATCCTCAGATAATCCCAACGACTGCGCAATTCGGCTCCATCCCACCCGCCGAGGACCCCGCGACAAAGATTGCCGATCACAAGCGGTAAGAACCAACACACCGACCACAAACACAACGCAGCTGGACACGATGGGATCGCAAACAGAGGGAGCGGATGGCGCAAAGGCGCCCGACGTTGTTGCCAGTAGGTCTACGCCATGGCTTCCCATTGTTTACCACCGCAGCTGACGCAACGCAGATCTGGGCTTTGCGCCGGCCGTAAAGTTGTCGGGAGAATGGTCCGTCAACAGAGTGCTCGAGGAGATCCCCAGCGAGGCGCCTGCCGAAGGCTCCAGCTCTCCAATTCCCTTTTTCCACATGCTATCTCGACTCAAGACTACAAAGCGCGAGGGCTGGAGGCGGTTTGGAATCGAAAGGTCAGTGTTGGAGGCACCACGACGTAGTTACTCAAGAACAATGGCTGACTGGATGTTTTGCTGCAGGGGCGAGTCGATTTCCGATCACATGTACCGCATGTCTCTCATCACCATGTTTGCGCCTCCTGCGCTTGCCAAGAAGTTGGATTTGCACAAGTGTATGAAGATGGCACTGGTTCACGACATGGCTGAGCTATTGGTTGGAGACATTACACCCGTTGACGGCGTTCCCAAGACGGAGAAGAGCCGGCGCGAGGCGGAGACGATGGACTTTTTAACCAAGAATCTGCTGCGGAGCGTTGCTGGAGGCGACGTCGGGGCTGAGATCCGGGCGGTGTGGCAGGAGTACGAAGACTCCAAGACACTGGACAGCCACTTTGTGCACGACGTGGACAAGATCGAGCTGATGCTGCAGATGGTCGAGTACGAGAAGCAGGGCAAGGGACTCGCGGACCTGGGAGAGTTTGCCTATGTCGCGACAAAGGTTACGCTGCCGGAGATGAAGGAGTGGGCGGACGAGCTGCTCAAGGAGAGAGACGAGTTTTGGAAGAACAAGGAGCATGTCCACGGCGAGAGGGGCATGGAGGGGGGCGTGTCTGCGGAGACGAGGAGTGGCCAAGATGAGTACTATGAGCGAAAATGAGGTTGTGAGTTTGTGTGTTTTTTTGGGGGGGTTATTGTTTAAGAAGAGAAGCGATTTCACATTTGGGCATATAATAGAGAGAGCTTATAGACTTGTGAGTGTGAGCGAGTGTGAGTATGTGAGTGTGTGTTTGCATATAGCATCTCTGTAGTTTGTCTTGCTTTGGGTTTCCAATCACGACATGCGGGGAGCGTGAGTGAATGAATGAATACTGACCATGAGCAATCAATCAATCAATCAAACACGACGATGAATCCCACGTTGACATCTCAGATACTGATACCGATACTGATGGATTGTCACCATCTCGTGATTGCCCCTGGCAACACCCTCTAGCGGCCCTGCTTGGTGCCTGGTGACCACCCGCCAGTGCGTGTGGGGAGAGCAAATGTTTTTTTTTCTCCGCCAAACCACTAAAAGCTCGAGGCCGGGCGAACCGGATTGCTTCCGTGGATTGCTTCCGCTCACTTCATGCAAACGCACAAGCACAAGCACAAATTGTGTCTGTCAATTGCAGTCCAAGCTCCCCCCCCAAAAGCAGGCGAGCAAGCAAAGCGACCAGGGCTGAGAAACTGCGGAGGCTGGGCTGAGCCACACTCGCTGCGTGAAAACCCACTTTGCCATCCGTCGACTGTCTCTCGTTCACTCTCACCGCTGCCCGGACATTCCAACAGAGAAGCTGGGGAAAAGAGACAAAGAGCTTCGAGAAATAGTATATCAGAGGTTGAGCTTCCCACCGCCAGAGTCGTGACCCCCCCCCCCCCCCCCTTTTTTTTCCCTGTGTCCTGCAGGAACTCGCCCACTAGCTTATCCAAGTGCTGCTTGCACTGCAGCTTAGGGGGTGGCCACGGGAACCTCACATATACATCCGTACATCCATACATGTCAATCCCGGGTTTGGTGATTGCGTTGCTGCCATATCCCTGTTTTTTTACTTGCCTCTTCCTTGTCTCGCCAGAGCTTTTGCCGCCGCGGGTTGCTGGCTTATCAGAGGCGCCACCTCCGCATTCCAAGGCGCAGCAGGCGAGAGGGAAAAAGAGGGTGTGACGAAGTCTTTTTTTTTTTTTTTTTTATGCTTTGTTCCCTGGTTTTTGCAACGGTCACGAGGTGGGCGATAAGAAGCCAGGCAAGAAAAAAAAAGCAAGACATTTCCCAGCGGCTAGGCAGCACAAGCAGGAGAGCGAGAGACGGCACACCATCGCCAAAGTTACGGTGCGGACTAGAGCAGCGGCACGTCAGCAGGGCAGCGCCATTCATTCACTGCCTGTCCTGTGTGGTTCAGCTGTGCCAAGCCTTGGGTAGACGGACGGCAATCGACTTGGGGACGGTGAATCATTGGACAGCACAGCGAGGCATCGATTCATTTCGAGCAGCCCTTCCATCTGCGGTACCGGCTCTTGCACCAGCCAGCCAACGGGAGGGACAGCGACAGCGACGCCGAGACGGAGACAGACAGACAGACAGACGGCGAAGAGGAACAAGAACAAGAATCCCGACAGAATCATGACGTTCGCTTCGCATTACCACATGTCCGGCACGTTTCGCGACGGCGTCCACCCGGGCCTGTTCCGGCCGCCCGTGTCGCCCAGCTCCAGCACCGACTATCTCTCGTCGTCGACCTTTGCAACCGAAACCTCCAAGCGCAAATGGAGCCGCAGCAACGGCATGCAGACCGGCAGCTTCTTTGAGGATGTCTACATGGACAGCGCCCCGAGGAACTATGCCCTCGCCGGCCAGCTTCACTCCCCCGTCATCGGCCCCAACCTCGACGACGCCGACGCTGCCATGGACGAGAGCATGTACTCCGACTCCGACTACAGACGAGCCCTGGGCACGAAGCGATCGCGAGACGAAGCAGGCGACGAGTCCGGCGGGCCGACACCGCTCTTCACCCAGCCCGGACCCGACCAGTCTACACAATCTGGAAGCTGGGGATCATTTGCCTTTTCCACCATCGGCGGCGTCGTCGGCCGTGTGTGGGAGTTTTGCAAGGCCGGTGCCTTCAAGGGCTTTTACGCAGGAGGCGGCACGTCATACAAGATGACGAGTGCAGGCATTAGCGTCGACGAAACGGGATCCAACAGCCATCAGACGTATCACTTCCAGGGCGGCTCTCAACAGCAGCAGCCGCAAAACTCACAACCGAGCCGCGACCATCGCTTTGGCGGCCGAGACAGAGCACGGCATCTACACGGACAAGTCCCCAAACGGGGTCACTACAGCAACAGCAACAACCAGAATGCCGGCTACGACTCTTCGTACGACAGCGGCGCATCAACACCCACCGGCCCGGCGCCCAAGAGACGCAGGCATACAGAGAATGGAGGCGAACTAGGCAAGAACTGGGTCATGATCCATGAGCCCGAAGCTGAGACAAGGACACCCCGAAGAATGCCCTCCTCAGCTCTTCCATCGCCGCGCCATCGTACCCAGCAGATACCCGTGGCCGACCGCCGCATGAGCTCCGCAAGCAGCTTCTCTACTCCCACAACCTCTAGCCCAGCTCCTCTTCGCCCTGCCAGTCGTGCCGCAGGCCGTCCAGGTAGCCGGGCGTCCGACGCCAATTCCCTCAGGCCCCTGCAGTCGGCATCAGCGGCGTCGTTTGCCTCCTTCAAGGCGAAGGCGCCCAGCGCCCCCAAGCCGCCTGCCCCTTCCCCTACGCCAAGCAGGATCCCTGTCAAGGCCAACACTTCAGCCGTCCTCGCATCGTCGGCCGCGCTCTCGACCTTTGAGCAGGGCCGAAGACGCCGACACACAGTCGTGCCGTCGTCTTCCGATCCGTCGGCCTCGTCTGGGCATCGCCGCCGCGGCAGCATAGCCTCGGTGGCCACTAGTAGGGTCAATGAGATTGACGCCAGCCCTTCGCGACTCGACGCCGAAGCCAGGAAGCTGGCTGCTCGTCGCCAAATGGAGGAGCGCGACAACGACGAGCGCATGTCGGCCTTTAACAAGCAACTACAAGACATGATCCGACAGGGAAGAGAAGCCCTAGGGACGACTATTGAGGTTGACGGCAGCTGGGAAGACATTTCCTAAATGGACCGCCGTTACTACCCTATTCCATTCTTTGACATGACGATGCCTCTTTTTTTTTTCTCTTCCTGTCTATTTATTGATTGACGAATTTCCTACTTCTCTTCTTCCTCTCTTTTGTTTGCCTGAAGGGGCACTTATGACATTATGAGATTACAAGATGCGAAAAACGTATGAATGAGCTACACAGAATGTGGCTGGCTGTTTTTTTATTTGTTGATTTGGAGGCTTTACTGCGATTTTGACTTTTTTTGCCACATCTATTCATTTTGACGACTGATATCTTGACGTTGATACGGAGGAAAACATTGTATTTTGGAGGAGTTTCCTGTCCTGTAAAGGGCCAACACTTGGGCCTCTCTTCCCGCTAATGACTGACATGAGGACGAAGGATATGAATGTGAAAAACGCGGTGGCGGAGGATTTTTTTTCTTTTTTGATAGCTTTAGCATTTTAGCACAATGAAATAAAGTTACAACCATCTTTTATGGAATGCATTTCGTGACGCCAGTGTTGTGATTGTGATCCTTCACCTTGTGTTCGATGACAGCGGAGGAATCTATCCGAAGACGCCAGACTACTTTCTATAGTTGAGAAGGGTTGAAAAAGCTGAGGTTAGACAAGAGAGACATGAAAGCGAAATGAAGGCGCATTTTCCCCGTTTTAGTGCTGGATTTCGCGTGCCCTTCATTCAAGCCACGCCGCAAAAGGGTTCATTTCCAAACCGCGGGACGGGATTATTTTTAGTATGGCATGGGATGAGTTATTGTGGTGCTAATGTATGTGCTCGGTGTGGGTGTAATTATAGAAAGAAAAAACATCTTTTTTTGGCTTGGCAGCTGGATTTTTGAGACTTGGGGGGTGAGTGTGTTGGGTTGTTCGCCTTTTTTTTTGATATCGTGTATTTACTTGCTTGAAGAGGCTATTTGTTTTTCTTATTCTGTGTAGATGTGTCAATTGGGGATGTATTTATTTACTAGGTAGATGTTTACACAAAGTTCAATCCTTGCGTTTGAGTGCTTGCAGCTCATATGGTTATATTTAGCATCAGTCTTGTCACTTCATTCACCGTTGACCTCGTGCCACCCAAACCTTGGCACGTTCAACCACACACCAATGAAACCCGGAAAAGACATGCTGCCACGCCCAGTTTTCCAAGACATTTTCTCGTGATACAAACTAAAAAGACAAAAAAGGACCTAGAATCAGGAAGCAAAAAGGAAAAAAAAAAAAGCACTACCGCTAATTGCAGCTAGAAGAGTAGAGCTATCTTCCTCCCTTGCATATGTTTTTCATCCTCCGTCCTGGAGTCTTTGATTCCAGCCCCTTGGAGGGCCCTAGCCAGCTCTAGGAATGACAATGGTAAAACCCCCCCGAGGAAAACTATACGAGAGCGATAGGATAGAATGAAGCTGCCTGGTAGTATCCGGCAATGCCTGAGCTTGATAAGATTTTTTGACAGTCAAGGAGATGGTGAGCCGGAGGGGGGGGGGCGTGTTGCCGGTGGCGTTGTGAGACATTTCGTCCAAAAAAGAAATCCAAAAGAAAAAGAAAAAAATACCACGATACATTTTCTTTTTCCTTCTTCTTCTTTTAGTTGAAACACCCTCAAGGTGGATGTACGGAGCCAAGCGAGTACTTAACAAGGGAGTGTCCCCCGGATTGTGGTGCCCTTTTTTTTCGATCCTCTTCGGTCGCAGATCAAAGTTCAAACGACACACTTTTTGTTTCTTTTATTCTTTTTTTGAAGTGTACAAAAGATAAAAGGACCTTTTTATTTAGAAGGATCAATTGGTGTTGACGCGAATCTACAAAGAGGCGCATATAACAAAAAAAAGACACTTTGAGCAGCTAACAAACAGCCATGAAGGCAAGTAAATAAATCTTCCATTCCACACAAGTTCCCCCCTCAAAGACATATAAACAAAGAAGAAGAATCCTCCAATTAACGCCATTCAACCAAAACAGTTGACGACTTTTCTTTTCCTTCTCCCAGCCGCCCTCGCCCTCCCGACCGAGCAAGCGCAAGACTCCAACGCCATCGATCCAAACCGCAGATTCCACTGTCCCGACAGAATCCAGGGCTTCTGCTCCGCGTCCAACATCAAATCGGGCTGCAGCTCAGACGGAAGGTTTCATTCCGAGGCCATGGATACGTGCAGCGACTGTACATGTGAATGAGTGCTGGTGGTGACGATGATTTGAAAGGCTGGGTGGTGTAATCATGATACACGGACGGGTTTAATGCGCTTCTTGTTTTATCGATGCTGCGAGTGTGATACGAGTTCCTTGCTACCTGCTTAGATTCTTCTAATTCTATCAATGGAAAGTGTAAATTGAGCATCAGTCTATTATGATTGTCCAATTGCGTGTGAGCAAAAAAAAAGTCTACCTGAGGTATCCCATGACTGACGCAAGAACATAATCAACTTTTCCCTTTTCCTATCCGTCAAATAACAAGACACTCTAAATCAGCAGAAACTTTTCCCCAGGCGAGCCTACAACTCCGCCGTGACAGATCCTTCAGCCTCTCAGAATCTTGAGCGCGTGGCTCAAGGAGTCAATCTCCTTGGTCAGCCGCTCTCTCTTCTCCTTCACCGCCAGATCCTCTCCAGCAATAATCCCCAGCTGCTCTGCCGTCATGTTCAGGACCACATTGTCCGACAACACCGTCAGCGGACCATTCTTTGCACGCAGCAGATAATAGTCAATCGCCTGTTGACAAACCACGTCTACGAAGCGGCTTCGCGCAAGGTCATAATACGCCTGGAGGGTATTATGGATAGTCATGCCCGTCTCCTCGAGTGAAGACTTTGGCGGCTTCTCAGGCTCCGTGTCGTCGCCCTGCTCTGAGCCGGTTCTTTGGTCATTGAGCTTTAGCTGATTGAACTTTTCCTCAAAGCGGAGATCATACGTGATGGTTCGGGTTTCGAACTCAACAGACAGCAGAAAGTCGACGTGCTCCATTGCTCTCGCGTATCGCTTCACCAGGCCGTCATGACCGTCGTGGCCGTACAAGAGAAAGGCCCAGAGCTCCTCGCGGACGGCAACATCAGGGCAACATTCTTCCAATGTCTGGCGTATGAAGTGATGGACAATCAGCACAGCGTTGGAGACGTGCGCATACGCAATGTATGGCCACTTTTTATCCTGCTCTTTGAAAGTGCAGGGCAACATTTCGGCATTGAACTAGTGAAGAATGTTAGAGATGCTCCGTCGTGTTTAACAGTCAGAATTGGCAACTTACAGTTCCCATCTCGTAGCCTCGGGCTTTGATATACTGTTCTTGGATGTGCTCCAACATGCCGCCCATCTCAGGCTTTGAGCACCAGTATGGGTCCGAGACAATATCGCTCAAGTCTTCTTCGCCAAAATTGGGAATTTTGAAGTGAATTTTTTCGTCATACAGCGAGGCCCGACCCTGCGAGATCGATTCGTCAGGCGCGGCAGAACCTCCATGGTTTTCAGGCTGGTTCCCGGCTGCAAAACTCTCGAGTTCAGTATAAAACTCTCTGGCGTGTCCCTTCTCAAGCATGATGCGTGAAAAGGCCTCGTTGATTGTGCGAATTCGAGTAATCAGTCTCATCTCGAGGTCCTCGAAAAAGTTGTTGCGTGTATAGTACGCATCCAGGCCGCACTCTTTGATTCGCATGAATCTTGAAGCAATCTTGCCCACGTACGCACGCTGTTGGTCGGTACAGTTTCGGGGCTCGCCCATATCGGCGAGAAGCCCCTGGCTCTTCTTCAGGTTCGCCATGATCTCACTCTTGACAACTGGGAACTCGGCGCGAGTTCGGTCCATCAAGAGATGTTTAATGCGCATACGAAGTGCTGGGATACCCAATCTATCAGATGGCAGGGTGTTCCACGGAGGTTGTCCAAACAGAGACAGCTCCTGCTGGTCGCGATGGTTCATGCTTCCAGAAGTGTCATCAGCGCCGAGATTCTTGACGACGCAGTAGCCAAGATGCAAATCTCGCCGTTTGCCGTTGACGAGGTCGCAGATAACCGCCTTGGTTGCGTTCTCAATGGCAAGATCAGGCTTGGTGAGGACACCCAAAGTCCGTTTTCCCTGGGGATCAGCCTCAGCCGCAAGTCGAAGAATCTTTTGGTTGGCAATGTCACCATTGCAAGGGACCACGGCGAGGATAATGGTTCGGCTCTCGTGAATGTAACGCTTCACCATATTCTTCACCAAGTCAATGTCCGACTCAGTCGTCAAGCCGGGAGTGACAGTCTCGAACATGCCAGGAACGTCAATGACAGTGAGGTGATCAGCGTTGGGGCCGCTGATTTCGACTTTGAGGACGTCCAGGCTAAAAGCGCTGCCTCTGTCTCCGTCATTCTCAGACACCTTGATTCCCATGACTTTGGCGGCCTGTGGAGACGTCCGTTAGTCTTCCCCTCAAGGTAGCATGACGAGAAAGGGTGATAGAGGTGCCTACATCTTCAAAGATTTTCGGGAAATCGTCAGAAAGAATCGTGTTTGTGGATCTTCGAAAGTCTCTGACGAGCTTCTCGCGCTCTATAGATGGGTTGTGTGGGATTATTGACACCACAACGCTTTCTGTAGCCTCCCGTCTACAAACAATCTCGGTCGCATGCCGAGTACACAGAGTCGCCGACCGGGGAAACTGGAATCCCGTGAGGGACTCGAGGACGCTTGATTTGCCAGCACTTTGGTCTCCGACCACGACCATCTACAGAAGGATTAGCAAGTGTTGAACCGTTCATCCTTGGTGCGATGTTTTGAGGACTGACCTGAGGCAAAGGGACAAGATGAGATATGCCCAATGCGCGAAGCTTGTCAACCTTGTCCAGAAGGACTCTGTTGCCAAGGCCCTGGCCCGACTTGTCGTTGGTGGAAGTCAAACCCATGTTGGAGGCTTTCTTCACAACAGGAGTTGTTGAGATGACCAGCAAAGGAGGAGTCGAAAAGTCCGAAGTTGGGAGAAGGGGAGAAGGGGCAAACGCAGCTATCCGATGGGGAAGAATGTTATTCCTTCGAAAGTCTCCGAGGGAGATGCCGGCGAGTTTTCAGCCATGATTGTCTCTCTTTTCAGTTGCAAAAGACTGGCAGACAGCTGTATGGAGATGGGTGACTGTCGTGCCAGCTGTCAGAGTGGTGTAGATGCTGGCAGGGCGAGTCGCGGGCACCACATCCGCCATGGCTTGGTATATGATAGAGCGAGGAGATGAAGAGGCATATAGATGGATTCAATTGTAGATTGTGTGAGAGAGAGGAGATGGTTGGTATGTAGATGAAGGGAAGAGGATGGAAGTTGGGCGAGTTGATGGAGCAGGCGATATGCTATCAAGGCGGTGGCATGTACTAGGTACCAGATACTGCAGTTATCTTTGAGCCAGTGACAACTCCGATACATCTCTTCGTCAATATGCACTCTTACACAAAGTGGTATAAGTCAATCATCATGAATCCCGATAGTAGCCATCGAGATGATAAACCCAATATCATGATTCTCTGTTTGAAGATCACGCAATCGTCGGATACTCACGCTTTAATAGCTTATGCCTACTTTTTGGCGAGGGGACTCATACGCCGCAACCTCGTCTCTGAAATAAATTGATAAAATACTTGCGTGCAAATCTACAATATTCATCTGCACCAATTGACCAAAAAATCAAGTAGTTTTGCACTTGCATCGTCCCCAAAATGCATATCAAACCGTGAATTCCTACCTGTCAACATCAACTGCAGGGTAAGTCTTTTTCTACTGCTCCGACGCCGGATGTGCCCCTCCAAAAAACGTGCTCGCCGGTGACTCCCCCACCAAAAGCTTCCCGCAAGCAGCAGCACGTCTTAGCTAACAGGCGCCACCAACCAACCATATAACCAACTCCATCAAACTTTTTTTTTTCTTGGCTCTTGGGATTGTAGAGCTGTCGCCGTTTTTTCACTCAAACAAGTCAATCAATCACCAATTGACCTTTACAGCAGCAGCCATGGCTCCCCAACGTGCTTTGATGCTGTAAGTCCCAACTCTGGAAGAAAATAAGAAGAGAAAAAAAAAATCACGCCAAATGCCCCTCCCCCACTAACAACGTCATGATAGCGGCTCCGGCTTCGTTACCAAGCCCACGCTCGATATTCTCGCCGAAGCTGGTGTTGAGGTTTCCGTTGGTGAGCAACCCAGTGCCCAAAGAAACTTGATTCCGTTCGATCCGTCCTGCTCTCTTCAACCACCACCTCCCAAAGAGATCCAGTTCGACTCGACCCGACTCGTCTTGCTTCTCTTCAAGCATCACCTCTCGACTAATGCCTCTTTTCTTCAGCCTGCCGAACTCTTGAAAGTGCCAAGAAGCTCTCCGCGGGCGTCAACGGTGCTACTCCCATCTCCCTCGACGTCAACGACGAAAAGGCCCTTGATTCTGCCGTTGCCCAGCACGATCTGGTCATCAGCTTGATCCCCTACACCTACCACGCCGCCGTCATCAAGTCCGCCATCCGAAACAAGAAGAATGTCGTCACCACCAGCTACGTCTCTCCGGCCATGCTGGAGCTTGACCAGCAGGCCAAGGATGCCGGCATCACCGTCATGAACGAGATTGGTGTAAGTCGTGATTATATTGGGTGATGCAAAAATGCTGAGAGATTGCATAGCTTGACCCCGGTATCGACCACCTCAGCGCCGTCGACACCATCAGCAACGTCCACGCCGCCGGTGGCAAGGTCCTGAGCTTCAAGAGCTTTTGTGGCGGACTGTAAATATTATTATACATGCGACAATCGCAAGTTTCCGGCTGACATTTTCAATAGCCCAGCCCCTGAAGACTCAGACAACCCTCTTGGATACAAGTGAGCGCAGCAACAAGCTCTCAATCCATCTCTCTTAGTGGAAATCGCTAACATTGCGCGAATTCAAGGTTCTCCTGGTCGTAAGTGGTCCCACAGCTTCTACTCTGATCTGTGGAAAGGGGCTCGATATGGCATTCGATTCTTCCAACCGGCCCTAATTGAGATGCCCTCTTGTCAAAATCTGTTCTAACCCTGATGTATACAGATCCCGAGGTGTTTTGCTTGCCCTGCGAAACGCTGCTACCTTTTGGGAGGATGGAAAGCTCGTTAACGTTGCCGGTCCTGGTCAGTGAATCCCCCCATGCGCTACTACTTTATTTGCTGTCTTAAAAAGCAATGATATGATGAATACTAACACCGTTACGCGTAGAACTGATGGCAACTGCTAAACCTTACCACATCTACCCCGGTAAGCCTAGCCAGCTGGCTACCCACCGTTTACATCGCTCTAACATCTTCAGGTTATGCTTTCGTCGCTTACCCCAACCGCGACTCAAGCATCTACAAGGAGCGCTACAACATCCCCGAGGCACAGACCATTATCCGTGGAGTAGGTCCCAAATCGCCCTTGCAAGATTATCGGGATGCTAACATCCCGTGTTTCAGACTCTGAGATACGCTGGATTCCCCGAATTCATCAAGGTCCTCGTGGACACCGGCTTCCTCAGCGACGATGAGCAGGACTACTTCAAGCAGCCTATCCCCTGGAAGGAGGCTACCCAGAAGCTCCTCAACGCCCCCTCATCTAGCGAGGCTGATCTCGTCGCCGCCGTCTCATCCAAGGCGACTTTCAAGGACGCCGAGGAGAAGGCTCGCTTGATCTCTGGTCTCAAATGGAGTATGTTTTTGCCACCCTATTGCTGTGACACAAGTAGTACTATATTACTGGGCACATCTCCTGGTCATGGCAAGTAGTGAAAGAAGTCGCTAATCTCCGGACACAGTCGGCATCTTCTCTGATGCCAACATCACCCCCCGCGGAAACCCCCTCGACACCCTCTGCGCCACTCTCGAGGAGAAGATGCAGTACGAGGAGGGCGAGCGTGACTTTGTCGTAAGTCTTTGGCCCACTTTACATCGACGAGAAACAGCACACGTTAACATCAACCCCTATAGATGCTTCAGCACAAGTTCGAAATTGAGAACAAGGACGGCAGCCGCGAGACCCGAACCTCTACCCTCGCCAGCTACGGTGCTCCCACCGGCTCAGGAGGCTACTCTGCCATGTCCACGTTGGTAGGAATTCCCGCGGGTATCGGTATGTTACAAGAAATCTACTTTCCTCACGTACATGTTTGCGCCGTGAAAATGCGAAAGAAGAAGAAAATGAGGGCCAGAAGGGGGGAAATAGCTCACTGATTCGTGTTTGCCACCTATAGCCGCCAAGCAGATCCTCGACGGAACCTTGTCCGAGAAGGGTGTCATTGCCCCCATGACCGCCAAGATCAACAACCCGTTGATTAAGGAGTTGGCCAAGTACGGGTGAGTTTTAGTACATTTCTTTGCTTTACTCCCTACTGCCCTGGTGCCCTGCAATGACCTCCTTTCATTTTCCTTTTTCCTCGGTGATTACAGCGACAAGAATACTAACAAATATCTGTCCACTAGCATCGCATTCAAGGAAAAGGTCATCAAGCACAGTGCCTAAGTGGTTGAAAAAGTCGCAATGTGTGGCGCTATGTGGGATGCCTCGGCAACCAAAAGGCTATGGAAGAAACCAGCTGAGCTCAGCTGGGAACAACATTCGTGCTTGGAGTCTCCCACGATAACCTACTATAGAAATGTGAAATGTGAAATGTGAGAAATTACCCATTTGGCTAAAAACCACTTCCGCTTTACACATCGTTGATTGCAGTAACGCATGTTTGAGGAGATCTTCGGTGGCCGGAAAGGTATGGCGAGAACTGCAACTGACATACATGTGAATTAATGAAGCCAAGTGCTTTGAGTTGCACTACCAAGTAAGTACCTTGCAGTAGTTCCATGCACATATTGGCAACTTATTCTACATAAATCTACCCCCAAACAATATGTCAGAAGGCTCTACAAGCAAGCGATGTGTCACAAGGCAGCCAAAACTCGAATCATGCCTGTTCCATTGCAAGTGGAGCAACGAAAATTCTCTTCTATTTATTCGCATGCCCAAAAAAACGACAACAGCCCTCAACCAAGCAAGCCATCGGGCGATTTTCGCCTCGTTTTTTCCCTTGCACGTAGAAGCTTCAGCCCAACCCCCATCTTTCTTTGCTCTGCAGCCTCATTACCACCCCTGGGGGGTAAAAGCAGCTACTTTCTCAAATGGTATATCCATTCCAATGATTCCAAGAATAAAAAGAAAAAACGATGAAGGAAAAGAGTATAAACAGGAAAGGGGAGAAAAAAAGAGACAATAAAATAACAGGACCAGTTTCGTCAATCGTACAACCCCATATACCCTGGAAAAGTAAGGGTATAAAAGAAGAAAAAAACGCCCATCGCTCTGATGAATGTACATATATACATGGGTAGTGGTATATGTTCCGTGAGACAACAAGGAGTTGTAGTCTCTGGTCTCTCTAATAATGAACCAACTCTATTAGTCTTTCAAAAGTGACCCGACATCTTGCAGCTGCATCGATGTCGACAGAGGAGGCGGCGCTCCCCTGTCTATTCTGCCCCAGCCTGCTCCCCAGCTAGGCAACTCTTGTTGCGCGTATTGTGGTCGGAATCGCGACGAGCTCGCCGCGCCCGGTGCCATAAAGCCGTCCGTCAGCGTAATCTCGTCCGAGCCGGCGTTTTCGTGAAAGCTGCTGGGGCGATGGCTAAGGGCAATCTCGTCGGTTCTATCGCTTCGGGCCTGTGACTTTCGGTTTCGCCTCCGCCAGAAGCGTGTCCTCTGTCCGGATGGGTCGTGTTGGGCGAATATCTCGGGGGACTCCATGATACCAACCCGGGGGGAGCGTCGGCCGTTGCCAAACGTGCTACTGTGTGCTCGCGGATAGAAGAACCCGGCCGGCCGGCCACCGCTAAACGGATTCCACGGCCGCAGTCGAGGTGAAGTCATGTTGATACTGCCGTTGCAACCAGCGTTGTAACTTGTGCGGGTCTCGCCCGAAAGTTCCTCCAACGTCATCCCCTTGGTCTCCGGTACCAAAAGCGAGACCAGCGTGCCTAGAAGCATAAAGAGGGCAAAAAGTTGCAAAAGACGATTCAGGTGTGGCGAGCACTGGTTCCCCGAGCAGTTGGGAGGAGAGTCCTTCCTCAGAATCGGAATGCTGATGACCTGGGCGATGATGGCGCCGATCTTACCCGAAGCTGCGGAAACGCCGTGGCCAGTGGATCTGTATCGTGTAGGATAGCATTCTCCGGGAATGATAAAGGTCGTCGTGTTGGGGCCGGCGTTGAAGAGAAACTGCGCGACAATGTAGAGGGCGAGCATCGCGCCTTCGCTCAAGTGGTGAAAGTAGAAGCCGAGGATGCAGAAGATGACGGTCAGCATAAGGAAGCCGGCGAACTGGAGGGGTTTGCGGCCGACGCTGTCGATTGTGAAGACGGCAGCCCAGTAGCCAGGAATAGACCCGGCACATGCGAGTATGATCATTCCAACGGCTTGGTTGTACAGTTTGTGGTACAGTGTACGTCCGGTGGCATAGCCAATGGCACTAAGGACCATGGTATTGTTCAAGCCTAGACCGTAAAATGCGAGGTCCTATTCATCGTAACCAGGTTAGTATAATGAGTGACGAGGAGAGCTGAATAACAGGAGTCGAGACGCACCAGAAAGAACCATGACATGGTTGTGCCAACGAATACTTTGAAGTTTTTCAACTGGCCAAAATAGCTAATCACGTCCGGCCACGAAGCCGGCGGCACATCGAGTGGTTGCTCTGTAGTCAGGGTACCCGACCGGGATCGCTTCATGGAGCTAAAGTCGCCCTTTGGCCGGCTCGCCACGTATGCTCGGATATCGGCATCACCCTTTTCAATGTCGTTTTGGATATCAAAGGTGTAGCGAGGTGTCTCGGGGATGGTGATACGATAGTACAGGGCCAGGACCGCAGGGATGGCACCAACGCCGACGACGATTCGCCACGATCGATCAGCGGCCTCCCTGCATGCCAAATCGCAGGCTCCTTCTGCCGGAATGTCGATATAATGTTTCTTGAACGCCACGGTAGTGATAAGCGCAACAATGGCGGCTAAAAGCTGACCCAGGCCCTGCATGGAGAAGACAGCAGCCATCATGGCCCCACGCCAGCGTGTCGGCGCAAACCTAGACACAGTTAGTGATTATGCTGGGAGATGCGACATTTCGGATAAATTCCGTACTCTGATGTGATGACTGAAGAAAGGGGGTAGTCACCACCAATGCCGATGCCCTGGAGCCACGTTAGCTTTGTTATGCCGCGGATGAGCGGGATGGAAGGGGGTGGGTGGAGGGTCTTGTATACCATCATGACACGCCAGAATACCAGCAGGCCGACGGCACTAATCGTCGGACTCGGAGAGGCAAGCGCACAGCCAAATGTGCCAATGATGATGATGATGAGCTCAATGCCGTACATACGGCGTCGGCCAAGCGCACTAAGCCGCAGATTCCCGTCAGCACAAGCCATCCCTGGAAAACAGCTCCTCCATCATGTTGGTAGGTGCCAAACTTACTCGGCAAGCCAGCCAAAGATTATCATTCCCAGGACAATACCGCCGCTGGTCGAGGCCTTGAGCGCTTGGTTGACAGGATCGGGTAGAATTCCGTCGTTGCCTCCGTAGCCGTTGAAGGAGGTATCGCTGCTGTAAAAGACGACCCCAAGGAGGGTAGTGATGAGGTTGATGGCGAAGATGTCGTAGGAATCGAGAAAGAATCCAGCTCCAGCGACCAGGACGGCTCGGACATCTAAAGTCGGGTTAGTGATTCTGGCAACCTTGTTGACAACCCGTCACAACTCTAGGGCTGGCGAGTTGGGACGTACGGTAGAATCCAAAAGGGACCTTGTCAATCTCGGACAAGGCCAGGCGTCTCCGCAGGTTGGGATCGGTAATGTGTGAATAGTCGTTGTAGAAGTTGTGAAAGGCATTGTTGCCGCCATACGTGTGGTCGCGGCCACGGATTGATGCTGCTGGCGGCGGCAGCATCCCGCCATCGATGTAGGAAGGCATTGCGGATGGACGTTGAGATGATTCAGTTGGATAGCAAGGACGAGCCCTGGTTGCCGCTACGGAGAATACATGGGGGACCGGCGACGACAGATGGAGGAGAGTTGAGAATAAGCTGCCTTTTCGAAGCTTACCAGCGTGAGAATCGTGGCCTCGTGGATGCCGTGTTAACGATGCGCCTCTCTCGTCGTCGTGTAAAGAAGAATGTCGAGCCAGGCAACAGGATGCTGGGATTCGCAATTCGGCGTCGGTAGGTTAGGTAACGACGGAAAGCAAAAGGACTCCGGTATGGACCGCATATGCGAAAGGCAGATGGGCCGCTTTCAAGGCTGGACAAATGCGTGCGCCCAGCTTGGCGTAAGGCTGAAAGGATGAGCCGGGTGATTGCTTTTATCAAGGCGATGGGCGAGGCCGTGGGTGAAGATGATGCGTTGCAAGTTTTGGTCTATCCGAGCATGGACCTGTAAGCCATCAGGCGCTAGACACCGAAAGAAGGCCTAGTTAGATGGAACGGAGGCGCTGCTCGGGAGTCAGGATTCGGGTGGGTGAGACGAGGCAAAACGCAAAAGAGGGCACGGCTTGGTCTTTTGTTTGCTGGATGGTCGGAGACTCGTACATGCGGCCGAGTGGGTGGATGGTGGATGGATGGAGCCACGGCGAACCGCCACCAGCCCCGGCGAAGAAGGGCTGCCAAGGTCGACAGCTGAGAGGGTTCGCCTGGCAGGTCAGCGAGCGGCTGGTTCGAGTTACGTACAAGCAAGTTGACGTCTTTTTTTTCTTTGTCGGTTCTTTGCTTTGCCTTGCCTTGGCTGGCCTTGGGCTTGTCGTGCCCCGGTCTGGTGTGATCGGGTCTTGTCTGATCTGGGTTCTATTCTCCGTCGTCTTGGAGCCAAGTCACTCAGTCAGCACAACACAACGTCAACACAGCAACAGTAGCATCAATGGAGAGAGAGAGAGAGAGAACAAGGCGGGGCAGGGCAGGACAGAGCAGGACAGAGCAGGACAGGGGAGAACCAGAGACAGACCTGAACTGAACTGAGCCACGGCAGAAGAGCGAACAGAACGCCCCTCCTCTCTCTCTCTCTCTCGCGCGCAAGCTTCTAGCCTCCGTCGTCGTCCGGCCCCTCTTTCAACACGCCAACTGCTCTGGTTAGGCACTTGGCCCGTTTCTGCTGCCGAAATCCTCAGCAAAAGCTTCCCCCCTGCCCGCGGATGGTGATTGATTGATTGCGTGTGGATCGCCTCGACTACTGCACGTGCTGCAGCCCGCCAGCCAATGGGTGCCCGCAGCGGCCTTTTGCCGACCCTCCGCCCGCACCAGAAACGCTTAGGCCAGCTGCCCTATTGCCCCCTAGCGCAAGCCCCCTGTGGACTCTGCAGCGCTCCGAGTCAGAGGCTCGCAGCGTTCTCGAGGTTCTGAAGCCCTTCCAGAACGCCTGTGCCTGTTCGCTGCCACAGCGCTAGCAGCACTAACTTTCAGTGGCACGCAGCCGACTCCCTTCCATTTGCTTTTTGCAGCAAATCAGGCGAAGGGCTCGCCACTAGTTCCGCGGCATCCGCCTATCGACGTCGAATCGAAGCTGGAGAAGCCCGATTTTCTTCCTTCTTCTTTTTCTCTGCTGCGTCTCGCCCGTTATTCCCTTTCCATCACCGGGCCGGTGCACACGCACACACACAACACGTTTGACACGCCATTTTATTGACTCGCGCACGCCAAGCGCAGTGGGGTGGCAACGTGCGAGATTAAACTGCCAGAATGTCGTTTTTTTCTCGCATAATCCATGAGAGGAAAGGCGACAGAGAGACGACAAGCCCATACACCGCCAGAACTCGTCGATGCCTCAGCTGGTGAGCGCTGCTCCGCTGATCCGGAGCGACATCCATGGATTATTCGAATTGATCCTAAATTCTCGCACGGAGAGCCGGATGCGGCATGAGTTCCAGCGCCCGTCTTCCCGGTAGCACGAGTCCTGGAGATATTACGAGTACTGTACGAGCAACTACCTTGCAAGCCCATCATGCACAGTACTCGTACTTACATCGGATCAACCATCAACACAGGCACCGTACTGTACGAGTGCTCGTACCAAGTAGGTACTTAGGTCGCGCTGCCGGTAACGTTATCGTCGAATCAGCTCAATCAGGCTGGTTGGGCTGCTCTGCTGCAGAACTGCTGCCCGGCCCTGATAGGTTCATGCACTCTACATCTGACGCCAGCAAGGATCGCCCCTTGCTAGCCACGCCCTACGCCCGCTTGGCTGGCCGTCGGTTCTCCAGCTGCTCACCAGAGGCATTTCGCCGTTGCAACCCCACGTGGGAGCGAGCTGTGGCTTGTGAATCTCGTCAGGCTGGGTGCATTGCCGCAGACTTCGAAGCGAGAGGCTGCGTGGGGAGCGGAATCGCGATTCGACAACAGAAACACATGGTCAGGTCACTCACGCCAGGGCTTTGCATTCCCATCGCATCGTGCTACTGTACGGCGGTGCATACGATACACTGATCTGGGGTTCCGGTCTCGTCGTCGCATACGGAAGCCGTCAGCACCTTGATCATCCCGGGACCGCTTGCTGTGCCATCCCCAATGGAGACGTGCATTGCATCAGGGGGCTCCCAGTCCCGATCTTGCTCGTGTTGCTTCAGCTGTCCGGTCCTTTGGGAAGAGAGCGACGGGGGACGCATGGCACAGGCCCCGTTCAATAATCATGTGTTAGCGGAGATAAACCGATGGGGAGAGGAGCTTTGACTCCTTTGTAACAATCAGACGGATTCCGATTCCTCTCTGCGAGTGTCGTATCAAGCATCTCACAAGTTGCCAGAAGGGGGCGCGGGAAAAAGGCAAAACTGCCGGCAACTTCATCGCCATCCGCGCTGATTGGTAGAATCCACACAGCGCAAAGGCATCGGGATTGTTTCGTGCGGCTCTCGCGCGTTCCAGAGTCAAGCGCCGCAAGCTTTACCTGAAGCTTCTAGTGTCGAGCCAGACGTTGATTCCTCCCGTTGAGCTCCGCCCAGCTCCTCACAAATACGACTTCAGCCGCCTGGGGGACGCAACAGACCGGGTCATATCCCCGGTCAGTACCTACGTACAGGCATGCTCGGATTATGCAGTCATGGCCTTTTGATTCTCAATCCAGAGCAGACACAGGTAGCGACGGCAGCTCGGCCCACTTGCCATCGCTCTGTCTGCAGCTCACCTAATAGGGCCGTGTCGAAGTCAGAGGTTGAAGCTAGACTGAGGATCCGGATCCTAGGCCCCTGGTCCAAACGCCATCAATGCTTCGTCCCTTCTACTCCGTACTCCTCACTCGGAGCCAAGTCCGTCCATGTGGTAACTCAGCGTCGCAGCGTGACGGAGCAGATTAACCGACAATTCGATAATTCGTTGCTCCCCTTGTCCGGGTGCCAAAAATCCTCCGAGGCCCTCTTCCGTCTCGGTACCCAAACACTGGCACATGTGACGGGATCCCTTGCCGTATATTGGCCTGCATCCCCAACATCTTGTCGTGTTTCAGGAACTACACAGCTGTACATGTTGTACTCGTAATATCTTAGTATTAGCCAATGTTTTTTTCCGTGGCTCTTTGAAAAGCCGCTATCTATGCAACAAGTACCTTGCAGTTCTGAGATGATGCCAAGGCTGGCGATGCCTGTATCGACTACCAATGCCACTACTACCATACCGAACCCGGATACCAGGTCGTAGACTAACAAGACGCATCGTTACCATGCAGTAATATCATCCACCTCAGCTTCGCCGAACGTGCTCGACTTGGTCAGCTGGCCCACGCCGACTTCCTCTAGGGCGCCACCCTCGACCGACATGATATCAGGTAGAATCTCCTTGAGGAATCCCAGCACGTAACGGTTCACCTGCTCAAACTGCAGCAGGAAGGCGTCATGCCCCTCGGAGCTGTCGATCCGCTCGAGTCGTGCATTCTTTACGTGCTGCGCAATCTCTTCCTGCTCGGCAAACGTGAACAGCCCGTCGCTCTCAATGCCAAGTACAAGCAATGGCTGTTCGATTAGCGCCAGCGCCTCGGCGATTGTTGCCGCCCGGTCCCTAGACACATCGTGCGTGTCGAGCTTCCGCGTCATGGCAATGTAGCAGTTGCTGTCGAAGCGCTTGACGAACTTCTTCCCCTGGTAGCGCAGATACGACTGCGCCGAAAAGTACGTCGACGTGGGCATCCTGTCTCCTCCAGTCAGACTCTCTTCTTCTTGGTCATTTCCAGGGCCGTGGAACTGCGGGTCAGCATTTTCGGCCGATCGCGAGCCCGGGCTGCTGGTTCCGGACCCGGTGTGGCTATTCTTGCGTGAGACTGATGTGCGCTTGACGTTGTGGCCGTCGTTGTGAATGTGGAAATGAGCTTCCGACGGGGTGCTGGGACGCGGCCGTTCTCGAATCGTCTGAACCTTTGAAGGGTCGGGAATGTTCCGGCCAAACCGGGATTCGAACGAGTTGCGGCTGCGGTAGGTGAGTAGGGCAGACATCCGAGCCGCACCTAGCCCGGTCACAGGCGGATCGTCAAACGGGTAATAGCCGTCATCATACTTTGGGTCGGCGTAGATGCTCTGGCGTTGAGCCTCTCCCCAACTAATGCCCCAGGCGCTGTGTCGGCTAGACGTGGCAATCGGCACGACACAGCGAACGTAGTCTTTTCCGAAATATGCCCACTCCAGCACGAACATGCCCCCGAGCGAACCCCCGATGACAGCAGCCACTTGCTTCACGCCCAGGTCATCGAGAATGAGTTTGTGAAGGCTGGGCCCAGGTTAGTCCTCTGTGCCGTGATGACC